ATCGAGATGCCTGTCTAGTATGGTTGCCAGAACTTGAGGAGTTCGATGAAAAACTGCATGACGTGATTACAGACCATCAGAGGCACTTAAAATTATCAGATATTGCTGGTTTGCCTGTTGGACATGCACCCAGAGTGTTAGCAGGGTTTTTCAGGACTGTGCTAGACGAAGATGGCAGTGTGTATGCTGTTGCTACTGGTGAACCATGTCAAAGCTTTCCTCCCTGGCCAGCACCTGGGGACAAAGGTGGTGGAGCAGTTATCCCTTGCTCCTATTATATTACAAGTACACCAAGCAAATTCGAATATAACCTTTCCTTGTTGGAAAAAAAGGCAGAAGGTTCAGTTATGAAAGTGTCATGTATGTAGTTATTTATACATGTAGATATATCAGTTTTGAGCACACTCTGTGACATTGATCTGAACATTATAATTATATAATGTGTACTTTTCTAGTCCTTTTGTATGTTGTCTATTTGATTATTCTTTGATTAACTGTGATAACCATGTTAAACCAATTATTTAAGATTATGATCTCAATCAGTGTTTACATGCTTTATAATCTTGTTAGCTACTGTGTCAATTGTTACCATCTTGTTTAATAAATAATTCTGAATAATAATAGTTTAATCATTATTCTCTTAAATTGACCCATGTGTAAAATGGCCTTTTTGTCTGTTCTTCTGATAATTAATGCCAATGGCTCTTACAAACAAAGAATATTTTTGAAACACATCACAATTACTGATTAGTAACCCATTGGGAAGGTTTTTGAAAATGTTTTGAGAAGATCCCCAATATGGTCCGAAACTGCCTAAACTGAACCGGAAATAACCGAAAAGGTCCTGCTGCTCGAAGGTACAATCAAGAATGAAAGCTAACAGCTTTTTGCAAAAACTTATGTTGGTTAAAGAGAGGAAGAAAGGTTAAAGAGAGGAAGAATTAATCTTTCTCTTGAAATAAATAAAATTCCAACAATGCTACTTTCAGATAAGTGACAAATATAATTGTTTTTAGCGATCCAGAACACCCTAAACGACTGTACCGTTATTCAAAAAAAAATGTGCTAATAAATTGAAACCCAAAAAAAAGTACAATTTTAAAGGGTTGGGATGAAGGCACAACTGTGCAAGCCTTTCCTTTTAAAAGGATACTTTATTTTGTTTCAAATCATTTTCCCTTTTGCACGACGCCATATTGCTTCGCCATATTGCTTTCAAAGCGTCTATTGATACAGGTGGGACCTACTTAATGACGGTCTCCGCAAAATCAACGGTCTCTGCCGGTCTGTAAAGACCGTCGAGCTGAGGTGTCGCGCTTTATTGATATGACATAGTCGGTCTTTGGAGACCGGGGACCGTCGAAGACCGGCGACCAATGATTAGTGAGCATTGATTCGGGAATATTCGGATAGCATGCATATCGAAATAATTTGTCCAAAACTACGAGCGTACGATAGATTAATTTTGCGGTGATGAAAATGACAATACGCACGGATTTTTAAGACAATTGCGTACTTTTTTTTTAATGGGTTTTGATACGCATTCTTAAAAAATCAATTGCGTATTTTATAAAATTAATTGCGTAAATACGCAAATACGCACCTTATCTGTTGCTCTGCCTTCCATAATTGGCGTTTTATAAATGAAAGCTATATGCTGGTATGTAACACTTTACCTCTTGAATTTTTTTAATCGACTTGTTCGGTTCAGTTTAGTTCTCCATGATTACCTTTAAGAATATCAAGATATAAAGTTGGTCAACAATCAGTATAGAGTCTGGTCACACTGGGGAGACTAATCACTTTCAGGTAATATATAAAAGTTGATCAACAATCAGTATAGAGTCTGGTCGCACTGGGGAGACTAATCACTTTCAGGTAATATATAAAAGTTGGTCAACAATCAGTATAGAGTCTGGTCACACTGGGGAGACTAATCACTTTCAGGTAATATAATTTTTTGGCTGGATTTTACTTCACATCAACACTGTAAAGGTGATATTGCGACTTTCCAGCTTTACTGGTGGAGGATGACCTTAGCTGCCCCTCCGTGCATTATTTCAAGTACGAACGAGCACCTGAGTAAAAATGAGCTTGCTGAATAGCATCCTTGTACACTATATAAAGAACCAAAAGTCCCCAGAGGGATTCGAACCAACAGCAGTAAAGGTGTAAGTGGTTTGGGTCAAGACCTTATAAGCGCTCTGTTACGGACGCTGCGTAAATGTTAAACGTCATTAGTTTCATCCATGTAGCTCATGAAATTTACTATGACCATTGTAAGACGTCCTTGATAATAATTGTAAAACCAGTTGTGATGTGTGTGGATTATTTAAAATTAATAGAACTTCCATTGCCAACTACACGTTTTAAAGGGTCGGCTTTATTTCGGGATAACAGATTGGTACATGGGGCAGAAATAGGCCTCCAGATTTATGCTAATTTTCAGGAAAAAATGTATTTAAAAGTATAATAATATGAAGTGAACAAAGAAAGTAATTTACATATTGCAGATGACACTAACAATCCACTCAAATTATCAAAAAGAGGTCAAGACATGCAAAAATAGTCCTTACTGCGTTAGTCACGCAGTAGAAATATGGTGACAAATACGGCAAAATCAGTCATTAATCGTTCACATTATGTAAATCATTACTTGAATCTTCAATCTTTTTACTTTTCTTAAAAGCATAGTTCAAGTTTGATTTTCTTGTAATATTTTGGCTGATATGGAGGCGTGCAACTTTAAGTAATGTCAACTTTCATTAGATAAAACAAAATAATTCTATTTTACGATTCCCGGGTACATTAAATATGATATGTCAATATCTAAATGGGTTATAAAGTTTGATAAAGATTTCTGTCAAGTTGTACACATCAAATCATTCAAGTGAAAGGTCTTCAAACTACTTTACCTGTCAATTTATTCAATTTAGTTGTAATTTCCGTTATATTAATAATAACGTCAGTCAAACCTAGTCACCTCCGGGCATTTAGAACTGTTTGTACAACGTTAACTATAGAGCAGAAATTTAAGTGAAAAAGAAATCTAAAGCTTATTTTCAGTCTTAACATCATAAAACACGGATATTGAGTTTGAACCTCAGTAAAAAGCTCTTGTTTCTCTTCATATATAGTATAAAGGTCAGTCTAGCATTATATGTACATGTCTTCCGTTTTCGATAACATGTATTCCTAAACTGTTACAATACTGTAAACATGTTCTTATCTCAAAAGGTTTACTTGTATATCTTCCTATGTTAATGCTAAATGGAGCAGTTCTACTTCTAAACTTTGCTATGGCCGCCTCTATGATTCTTATTATGCACAAGCAGACTATAAGGTTCAACTTCATATATTTTTTTTTAAAATTCTACTATGGGACCTTACTCTCAGTGAGCCGCGTCACGACAAAGCCAACATATTGCGTTTGCGACCGGCATGGATTCTGATCAGCCTGCGCATCCGTGCAGTCTGATCAGGATCCATGCTGTTCGCTATCAGTTTCTCTACTTGTAATAGAGTTGGTAAGTGAACAGCATGGATCCTGATCAGACTGCATGCGCGGATGCGCAGGCTGGTCTGGATCCATGCTGGTCGCAAACGCACTATGTTGGTTTTGTCGTGACGCGGCTAATTTCTTGTTTATTTAGATTTTTTTTTTACATTAGTGCATCTATTCATATAATGTTTTTTCATACATGTAACAAACTTTAAAACTCATATTTTTTACAATTTCGGCCTTTGAATAAATAATGACCATTTTAATTTTTTTATTTGACCTATTGTTGCCCATATTGTTAAGTCTACACCACCGATATATAATACTTTTCTACAGCTCCTATATAACGCTACGCATTGCATGCAAGAAATAACTTAATTAAGTAGATCTGAACTAAAGTCAGATTGTACTAATCCTAATCTTACACCGTGTTATGGTAGCCAGCCATTAGCACCTTTTACAGCAGCATTTTGCGTATATTGGTATTAAACATATTTATTTAAGCTCGATTGCGAAACAAGTTCTTGCAACTTTTAATCACTTTCGAGCCCGCTTCCTGCCAACCAGTACTGGTGTCATATGAATAAATATGGTCGTGACCTGAGTAGGGCTCGAACCCATGATCACTGAATTGAGAGGGAGACACCTTAACCACTCATCGCTCCTCTATGGCGAATTTTTACCAACATCTAAAATGTTTTTCAACAATGAAAAATCTAGCAGCTCTATACTGGACTGTACTCTTCAATACCCTTAGTCGTCGAGGCTCCGTAAATGCCCGAGAGGTACACCTCTCCCCCCCCCCCATCCCCAATCGATAAATAGTCCAAGGACTCTATTGGCTGACTTGGCAACAATTTTGGCTGTTATTGTATTATTCAAGCGTTCAGTTAGCGCAACATCTAAGTATATACTCATCTAATGCATCATTATCACACATAAATATAAACTGATATCTTTCTATCTACTCATTTCTGAAGAAAACAATATAACATTTACTATGGTTCATACTCTTACAACCAACATTAAATTCATTCAAAATACGTTTCAAATTTTCAACATTATCTGCTATTAATACAATAGCATCATCAAATCATTTAGCTACAATATACGAAGCATTTTTTAATTGTCTTTCTTTTGTATTTTCATTTTTTTTATTGAAAACGGAAGTGGTAATAACCGGTTTTTATTAAAGTTTGAAGTATTCTTTGCACAAGTTATGGCCCTTACATAAGCTATGGTATAATGTGATGACGCACTTGATTCACGTAATGATCTTCATCCCTATATGACGGTCAATAACTATCAGATTTATTACACTTAAATATGTACTTGAAAATTTCAAAATTTAAAACAACAAATACATAGAAGGAAGTCAACCTCCCATGTCCCAAGGGTCATTTAACTGACCATATGAGCGAATACACAATCTCGCGTGCTAATTTCGGGCAATTCACTGTTAAAAATGTCAAAATTAAATTTTTTGATTGATAGTTTGACCTGTGAAATATACCAGAATAAGATTTTCATGTTGTAAAACTTTCCTACTTGAGTTCTTGTCACAAGGGTCATGGACAGGCTCGATGCAAAAATTTAATATACTTTCAAATGACTAAACTTAAAAAAGAGAAAAAAATAACTGGTGACACAAATAGCATTAGGTAAAAATAACAATTAATAAAAAAGGAACAGTTTTCAGAAATAAAATGGATAAAGTGTTTTTTCAGCTAAAAATTCCACTGGATTAAGAGACGTTTATGAATTTAACCAACTATTTCAAACAGAAAACATGAGTAAATTTTGGATAGTAGTTTTGTTTTGCATTGCTGCATGTGTGCGCACGTGTAATGGAAGTGCGTGGCTTCAAGATCCGCCGAGTAGATCGGCAGCGTGGTATTATCAGATTAAAACACCGGTCAATTACAACTTCAGAAACTTAGATTGTGGTGCAGTACCTGTAAGTTAATATGGTTATATAATTTTCATAATCTGTTTTTATAAGTAAATATGGCCTTCAGTATCACAACTTTATAACAAAATATTGTGCGCAACGTTTATAAAGTTTTATAAACACGGCTGAAAAAATCTCACTTTTTCTCAAAAGAAGTAAGTTTGCTGTATTAAAAATTCAATATCAATATTCCTGAAAGGTTATATGACCGTATATAAACGACTCGGGTTATATTTCCATAACAACTGTTCATATAAGGCCATATAATCTGTCAATAAATCTTTGTTACTTATAATATAATAATATAATAAAAATAATTTGTCAAAGAAGTAGCAAAATGTAAAGAAAGTAGTATTTTAACTTCCATACAACATTCTAAATCAATATAACTGAACTAATTGCCAAAACGCAACAGAGAAATACATGTTTCACATACTTGGATAATAGTATTTGTTTCGAAACTGAATTTTTTTTTGAGAAATAAGAATAAAAGCATTTCTGGGACATAATGGGCCTTTAAACAATGGCATCATTAGAAACATGTTTTAAACATACATATGACTTACGAAGTTTGAAGAACACGGATTATTATCGCAGTATTTCAATCTACCTAAATTCGCCCCTTGTACTTTGGTTTTCATATTTTAGCCGCGTCACGAAAAAACCAACATAGTGCGTTTGCGACCAGCATATGGATCCAGACCAGCCTGCGCATCTGCGCAGTCTGATCAGGATTCATGCTGTTTGTTATCAGCTTCTCCACTTATTATAGGGTTTGTAAGCGAACAGCATGGATCCTGATCAGACTGCGCGGATGCGCAGGCTGGTCTGGATCCATGCTGGTCGCAAACGCAATATGTTGGTTTTGTCGTGACGCGGCTCATTTATTTTCATATAACTTTCACATAATGATGTTAATGTTATGGCCAATTGTGACTCCGACGAAACCCGATTTTTGGCGCGATAGGTACATTGTAAAACTGTGATGAAAGCCTCAGCATCGAGAGATGGGCATACCCAGGTTCACGCTATTTTGGCACCAAAAAAACTGCGTATGACAGCACGACAATACGGGGGCGTCTGGCTCTTTTCTTCCGCTCCCGCTAGCCCCCATAACTATCTGGAGAACCGTGGAGCGGGACACGTTGTTACAAATGACTCGTGCCTAAGTGTATATTATAAAACAAGTAAAGCGCCGAAATACACACGAGAAGGGCAGAAAGTCAATGTGCACCTATTTTCGGCAAAATAAATTTATGTAACGATCATAATGTGAAGAATCTTCTGGTTGTAAATGAAAATTTTATTTAGTGCATAGTTAGCAAATACATATTTTCCACCATTCTTTTTACGAACAATAAGCACTGCATACTAACAAAAAAGTAGCACAAAGGTTGTATAAGGTGATGAAATAATAGCATTTTGTGTTTAATTCTTGTTGAGATTAGATGCATGTAGTTCCCTGCATATTAATAAAATTCTAGTATTCGTTGTCATATCAAACAGTTTATACGGAACATATCTGAGAAAATAATTGATGGGGTCCGAATAAAGATTTTAAGGTGGAGCTAAACACAGAATACCATGCACGGTTTTGCTTGCAGGTTTCACTTTGAAGGGGCTACACTGAGGTCTGACGGGTAATTTGGTGTCCAAAAAATATGTATACAAATTTCCCCACAAATCACAATATTATGACTAAAATAACAATAACTTACACTTTAACCAACCCTCTAACAACAATTATGCTAGAAAATGCATATTCACATTAGCTTTTGATGCAAAAATGAAAGTTGGTTTTCCCAGACATGTACAGAAGTTACCCACAATTCATCGGGTATAACTAAAATACGCAACGGACATTTTTGGAACAACAGAGTAAACGGGGGTAAAAAAGTCTATTGATTTTTTCTCAACTCTCTAACCTATCATGTTTATATAACTTGAGTATAACGATGAAAAACTGTATAAAAGATAATCAAGGTAGCAATTTCGTAGTCTTGAAAAATCAAACGCCAGCGAAGCGGTCATTTTCTAGACAAAACGGAAAGATATTATAAACATGTACAATTATTTTCATTGACATTTCAGTTTCAATTTCAATATTCTAAGGCAAACATAATGCATCGGTGATATTTATACTAAAACGAGCACAGTGTAATCACACTAATAAAAGTATTTAACGCTATCTATAACGTATTTAAATCAAATACAGTTAATGACATGTCTCATTTGATTTGATTGTTTGTATTTGGGATAGAGTGGGGTTACGTCACACAAAACTGTGTAGGTCATTTTTGCGACTCTTCAGTTTTACTGGTGGAGAAAGAACTCAGGTGCCCCCTTTGCAAAATTGTTTCTGGCACAAACGGGCATCTGTGTATGTAATGAGTGACGTTTCGTAGGCTATCTTGATAGGATCGTACATACACGTTCCACACACAATTACATCATATTCATACCATAGGCAAAATTAAATGCACGTTTCCTATTGTAACAATATGAAACCCCAGAAAAAAACCTATGAACTAGCTTCTGAATGTGGCATTTCTATCGTTATTCCATAAAAGCACCCCCCCCCAAAAAAAAAAAGAATGAATACATCAATGGGCATGCTCTGGAGTGTTGGTATTTATTACCTGCACTCCAGTTACGCACTGTGCATGTATATGAATTCGATTTAACTCTGACACGTTTTCAACAAAAAAGTCTTCAAACTATGATACAATAAATGTTTATGATTCTATTAGAAACTTGTTTAGAATTTAATGATTTTTTGGTGAAAACGATATAGTTTACTTGTACTACAGATAAGATCAAAGTGCTGAAGGCACTGAAGAAAAACCGGATAAACTATCACATTTTCACTCCAGTTTCACAGGTAAATTAATTTCATATGTCGCGGTTTACATCTAAATATCAGCTAACCTTTGCTTTTTTGAGACTTTTGTTTTTGAAAAATAATCTAAACGAGTAAAATAAATCCTCTTTTATAGGCAAATAATTTAATAAGTAGCATCCCCGATTTCTCTTTCATAAATTGGCTTTAGCAAATTCTTTTTCTATTCAAATATTAAAGAACATTCTGTCAGTGACGTGTCCTCTACTTGAAATCTTCCTGGTGTTTTTTTTTCGGTAACAGGAAGAAAAAATGACAGTCTGTTTCGTATCATTCGGTAACAGGAAGAAAATGACAGTCTGTTCATTTGATCTTGACTGTGAAAAATCATGTTTTGTGAACCAATTTATCCTGCCGATAAAGATTTTGCAAGCAATCTGGTGGTTTATGTTCTAGTGCTTACACTTAATTTTTAATTCCAAAGAACATTTCTTAGGAGACCTTTAACGTTTGATTACGGTATAATCACTATAATCGAAATACTTAGGAATTAATTTTAATTCCTGTTACTGTGAAATTTTTCGTTCACGTGTTTAAAATACTTAAGTAGCTCTAAAATTTTCAAAACGATATCCAGTATTTCCGAAACAATTTACAAAGGCTTTTAATACACAATCTTATAAATCTTAAAGTATTACGAGAACCACCCATTTAATCTCCAGAAATACATACGAAAAACAAGATAAATCAAAAGGCTGCAAGCTCTGTGGTATTTTCTGATCTTTGCAATATAAATCGCACTGTACAACTGTATTATTTTCCTGTATAAGTTTATTTTTATGTACTATAATTCTTCTTGCTTGGTACCAGAGTTTGAAACATTTTGCATGACTAGAGTTGCATCAAAAATCATTTATGTTCATTTTTATGACAGCCACACTTTATCCTTGCATATCGTGGCTATTTCCTTAACAAAGAAACTTTATAAAAATAATTGCCTTGAATTGGATTTGAACCCCAGACACACTAAACGAGCGCGTTACCCTTGCACCACGGAGAAGATATACGAACAATGCCTGAATAAAATCAAGTAATACTAAATTAAGATTTTTCACTGCATTTCGGGTTAATTTCGATGTTTTTTGTTCAAGATAAACTTGTTCTTTAACATTGATGTAAATAATTTAACAAAAATATTCTCGCCAAAACAGTCCGACATGTATATATTCCACTACTCGACAGTCAGATTTATTTGTGAAATAAGCTCTCGACATCGCTTAAAATAGCATTTTCATTGATTAAAATGATATTCATCCGCGTAATTTGTGAATGTGCATTCATTGACAATTCTATAAGCCAAAGCTACTTTTTAACTTTGAATGCGTTGTAATTTGTTGGATACTTATAACAAAATGAAAATATTTCTTTCTTTTAAATCGGTAGTTTTCAGGTGTTTTAAGAACTGTTTGTTGTTAGATTTGTCGTGAAACCGCTGTGTCAGAGATTGAATGTTAGCTTTGTATTTCCTAATCTTCGATCAGAAATACAAAAAGGAATGGTAACATTCAATGAATACAACACCCACACGACCAAGCAAAACAGGACCACAGCTAAATTATCAATGAAAACATTAATTTCAGGCTTTCAAGTGGTAAATAAAAAGAATAAACAACAAAAATGAAAAACAGGAAGAAAGAAGAGACAAAAGTAGAGAAAAGTAAAGGTTTTCGTGCTATAAAGAAAGAAAAGCAGCGTTCTTTCCCTAACTTATTTATGCAATGAAATGCATCCGATCAATATTTAGCCATTGTGGTTTTTGAAACCAGTCACTCGTGTTTTCAAAATAGTCGGGAAATGAACCCGACTTTTTTATCAAAACATTTACAAAACTATTAACAATGAGTATGCCATGATAAACAGGCTATAAGGAGTAAAAACAATGGTTTATATATGCATTGCCCTTTACCGTCTAGGAGTTGGAAGTATTATAAAACATAGTTTAAGCAATGGTTGTTGTATGAGGTGAGGTTAATAATATCTTTCTGAATTCTTAAAAGTTACTTTTACTTACCTGCCCTTCACATTTGTCTTGCTGTATCATGATTTTGTTTGTTTCGTTTAATTTGAAAGAAAGTTAGGGTTTAAAAAAAACAACAACTATATAATCAGTTTTAAAGTTTATTTCACTAGTCACGGCAATAACCCTGCTGTGGAAGCTTGACTATGTCGGGGGCTGCGTCATGTGAACGTTGCCGTCGCCTTGATTGTCTTTATTCCAGTTTTCCTTTTTTACTCTTATAACGCTCTCAATTTCTTTTCCACCGGGAAGCTTTCAATATATTGGTAACATTAAAGCACAGCTCAATTGACCCATCACTAGTACGGAGGCCTTCCAATAAGAAAAAAATTATCAGGATATCTGCTAAATCAATAATGATAATAATAATATTAATAGAGCCAGATTGTAACTCTTTTCCGACCTTCTTGATAATGTTTTACCATGTGCATGAAACAGGTATCAATTACCTATAGTTTTGAATGTCTAGATCAAAACATAGTAATCTTTTCATCAACAAAGTTTACATCCAATGCGGATAAATATGCAAAGTATGTATGTAAAACGATAAATATTAAATTTCAGATCTATCTAGCAAAGGAGATCGATTTTTTCTTAAAGAATTTTAATTATGTGCACTAGACATACATTAGAAATATTATCTAATAAAGTTGAAGCCTAAATGTCCTATAATGAGGCCGGATTCATTCTCTATTTAGCCAGTGCTTTCAGTGCTTTGATCAGAGTTAAAGAGAAAATTCTGGAATAACATTTTGTGTGTGCATGTGATTTTTTATGCTTACAATACTCAAATTCATGTTCGTTGTATAAAAGGTATTACGAAGTTTTTTTTCCTGAACGTGTGTCAGATAAACCAAAGTGACCTTTGAAATAGGACCCATTACACTGATTGACAAAGTAAATTTTCTTAGCCTAGATATCATGATATTTTAACCATTACAAAGTTAATACATAATATTTAATAATTACACGAAAGCTCTCAAATTAACATAGAATATTTGTAAAATTTGTGTATGTCAGTTTTCGAACTCCGTACGTTTAGCTAAATTCATCATTGTAATGGAGAAAAAAACATGATTACAACAATGTAATGCTTTAAATATATTGAAATTGCTTTTTGAAAGATTTTTCTCACAAGAACATATGTGAACAACAAGAAATTTAACAAAAAAAACCCATTATTTGCTTTTAAATTTATGGATTGTGGTATATTCCGGTTTCGCACTTTCGTTGCTGCCGATACACAAAAAATTCTCCGTTTCGCTTTTTTAGTCATCCCGAGAATCATCACGTGACCGTTGTTTTTATTCAGATTTGCAAACTGAAAGGTGTTTAAACGCTTTTCCCACAAAATTGGAGAAAATATGTATTTCAAACGACTTGCCAATCCAAAGAACACATATCAATGTATCACTGATTCTGTTTGAATGTCCCTAACTCGCAGGTAACAAAAAAATATCGGTTCGTGAAATTTTACTTTTTTTTGTGACATTCGGCCGTACCTCAGTGGAGTACCTTTGAGCTTTAAGTCGTGACTAATGGTCAAAAAGGCTAAAAACGCAATAAGATATCTAAGTAATATGCCCAGTGATTACTATTTCGGAAACTGTAATACTAGTATGCCCAATGATTACTATTTCGGAAACTGTAACTGTAATATGCCAGTGATTAATATTTCGGAAGCTATAACTGTAATATGCCCAGTGATTACTATTTCGGAAGCTGTAACAGTAATATGCCCAGTGATTACTATTTCGAAAGCTTTAACTGTAATTAATATGCCCAGTGATTACTATTTCGGAAGCTGTAACTGTAATTTATATGCCCAGTGATTACTATTTCGGAAACTATGATATGCCCAGTAATTACTATTTCGGAAGCTGTAACTGTAATATGCCCAGTGATTACTATTTCGGAAACTGTAACTGTAATTAATATGCCCAGTGATTACTATTTCGGAAGCTGTAACTGTAATTTATATGCCCAGTGATTACTATTTCGGAAACTATGATATGCCCAGTAATTACTATTTCGGAAGCTGTAACTGTAATATGCCCAGTGATTACTATTTCGGAAACTGTAACTGTAATTAATATGCCCAGTGATTACTATTTCGGAAACTGTAACTGTAATATGCCCAGTGATTACTATTTCGGAAACTGTAACTGTAATATGCCCAGTGATTACTATTTCGGAAACTGTAACTGTAATATGCCCAGTGATTACTATTTCGGAAACTGTAACACTAAATATTGAACGCCTTTTAGAAATAGAATTGTGTGTGTGTGTGCGGTTACTGGACACAGTGGACCAATTTCGATATTTTTTTCACATTTGAAAGTATTTTTCTTAAAAAATAGTAAAGCCTTCAGCTTTCGTTTTATGTTGGAAAAAACAATTCTGTGCTGTTTAAAACTAAGTATTTCAGTAATTTTATCTTGAAAAAGTGCATCATACTTAGTATCACTGTTACAAATCTGGAAACAAAATAATCCCTCGGAAGCATTAATCACATAAAAAATTACATGAAAATTGCAGACCTTCTTAAGCCTTCTTCAAAACAACGTCCCGAGAGCTATTTACGAGTAAAACGCGTCACTGACGTTCATTGCCAAAAGTCCGAAATTCATAGATATAAAATAAACAGGACATAAAATGGTTGTAGAAACAGAAACAGAGGTATCGAGGGAAGTCCTTATTGTTTATGTATTTTATCGACAACAAATTTCATTTTCCACCTTAATTCTTTTGATTTGACAATTATATGAAACAATATATCTAAAAAATAACATGTTTAACCTTTAGAAAACCTAAAGGCCACGGTGGCTGATTTGGTACACTTTGAGCGTAGCGTTGTTGATAGCGACAACAAAACCTATATCGTTATCGCCTTTTCGTCTTGTCTCAAGCGAAACGCGCCAAACGGCGCGTTGTCGCACTGTCGTCCTGTCTCTAGCGAAGCACGACAAACGGCGCATTGTCGTGCGGCGCGTTATCGCCCTGTCACTCGGCTCTGTCGCCAATCCTCCAATTTTAGCCGAGCGACAATGTGACATCGTGACAACACGCCGCACGACAACGCGCCGTTTGGCGTGCATCGTTGGCGACAGGACGACAAGACGAAAGTCCGACAACGCGCCGTTTGGCGCTTTGTCGTGCTTTCGCTAGCGACAACATGACGCACAAAAGCATTCCAAATCAGCCACCATGGTTTACTATTTCAAAGTGTATATTAATATATCCTAGGTAAAGATAAATGCAGACGGTAGTAGAAATTGCGGTTTGTGCGGCGACCCATACACAGACAAGCCTCCAAGAGACAATGAAGTTGGCGGGAAATATGCAAATCCGAGAGTTCGAACGAGATTTTACGAATCGGGTCAGGTCGCAGAGATAAGTATATGGAACAATTTACCAGGAGCACCTGGCTTCTATGAGTTCCGACTGTGTGATGAAGATTCAAACCAGACACAGGCGTGTCTAGATAAACATTTATTGACAATAACTGACACCGGTAAAACATACATGGAAGTTCCTCCAACACAAGGTCTTATCATCATTCATGTACAACTTCCGGCTGGGGTCACGTGTAACTACTGCCTCCTGCAATGGCGCTTCAGAAAAGGTAGCATTTAAATTACTGAATAAATGGAAAATAGATCTACTCTCTGTTTATATGGGTCGAAGAACAAAAAGTCATTTAAAAATCGAACAAGCAAGCAAAACCATGCTTTTGAAACTTCAAAAGTGCATTTGTTACAATATGTGAGTTTCTATGTTTATTATTATTTGTTCATTTTGTACAATGTCCTATTATGACATAAAGAACTTTACATTATATAATCCTCAATAGTCGATACATCTGTTGCGCTTCTAAGTTACTTATGGAGTAATCGAATTGGTGTTTAATCATTTGACAAAAGATACAAAAACTTGTAATATGATATTCCATACTCTACTTAATTGTGACGGTGCTAGGGGCGTGAGAGATGTGGCCCGGTTATCATCTCTCATGAATAGACCGACGGAATAAAATCGAGTCTTCAATTGTCACCTTCTAACTTTGTTTTAATCTCTCTTGAAGGATATTGTCCCTTCTCCAAATTTGTATAGGAATCAAGACTTCAGTTACAGTAAGCGAACTTCATTTATTTTTTCTTTAGAAACTTATGCTGGGTGTGATGATCAGAAATGGTGTAGAGTACAAGGTGCTCAGACCGAGTACTACAATTGTGCTGATGTAATGATTGGTAACGTTGGACAGCCGAAGCCAAGCTACATTTCAGATCCTATATACTCGGCTTCCGACTACGGAAGTGCGTATGATGTAGCCACGACACGAACAGACCGTATGTATGATTCATAATCTTCATAGTATAATTTGAACTTTGTCTTTGTCATCCGTCTGTTCGTCTGTGCATGGGGGAAGGGGGGCGTGTGTTCGAAAACCTTGTCCTGTCCATAACTCATGCACCGAGATTTTTTTAAATAAGTTGGCACAAATGTGTAGCATGATGGGACGGTATGTCATGCGCAAGTACACCAATGTCAAGGTCATTCTTAGAGGTCAAAAGGTCAACATTTATAAAATCTTGTCGTGCTCATCACTCTGTCGTGCATCAAGGGATTTTGAAATAACTTGGCACACATGTATAACATGATGGGACGGTATGTCATGTGCAAGACTAAGACATAAGTTACAATGTCAAGGCCATACTTAGAGGTCAAAGGTCAGCAGTTAAAATATGCATCTACGGATTTTGAAACAACTTGCATAAATGTTTAGCATGATGAGACAGTTTGACTTGCTTAACACCTAGACACTAACTCCAAAGGTCACACTTAGAAATCAATGGTTAGCAGTAAGAAAATCATGTCTGATCTATTACTATGTCATGCATTAAGGGATTTTGAAGTCAGTAGTTATCAAGGGCCACCTTTCCTTTTACTTTCAAGGGTATTTTTAATGTTAAAAGTTTATGACATCCAAACTATACTGCCTTATCATAACATTTTTATTTATACATGTTCTGTGCCCCAACATATTTACTGAGGTCATATGTGTCGTTCAAACATATTTCTAGCTATATAATTAAAATTCTTTATTTGCAGATATTTAGAAAAATATATCGCGTACATTAGTTAAACATGCAACAAATGTACGAATTATGTCAGATGACCACTTTTTAAAATTCCACTTTTTTCTACTGTACATAGATTAATAATCTATAAAATTTAGTTTTGAATTTTTCCTATACGTGTAAGATTGATCTTTTGAAACTTTTGTAATGGAGATTGAAAGTGCTCTTTCAAGAAAAGCTTTATTTCGTAAAATGAAAATTGTCTGGCATTCAAAAATAAAATTCGAGTCTTGTGCGTGATTAGATCAAGTCTTATTCAATATGTGTGTACATTAGTTTGGTAACAGCAATGTTCATCTCTTTGTAAATGATGAAAATTAAATGAAAGGCGCAATTTTTATAAAATCTAACTTGAAATCTCACAATGCTTTCATTTAATACATTGTATATGTAATCGTATATGTATTTTTATTACTCAGTCATATAAAAGATATAAATTGTAATTGTTCTAAAATACAGAACCTGACGGCAGTAATCTCAATGGCACTACAACAGAGGTCATGACAACAACAACAACAAAGGGTGTGCCTGTAATCACGATCCCTACCGGATTTCCGGTTACTACGACAACAAGTGGTCCGGGAACTACAAATAGGCCGGTTACAGTTATCACAACGGGAACGACACAAGTTAGACCCACATCGACACCAGAAAGCCCTCGTCTTGTCATCGGCTCGAGTGGAAACTCAATAGGTGGACAAACCATCTCTAATGGCAACGGAGGCTCAAGTAATAACAAATATGTTTTTGCTTTACTGAGTTTAATACCACTTTTGGGTGCGGTTAGTCTACATAATAGCCGGGCATTAGGACCTGTTCAGCCACCCCCAGTTCCACCAATAGCATCAGTCACGTGGGCAAGAGCACTCCCCATTTACCCATTACAAATTGAAAATAACTATGGGTTTGGAAACTTTGCTGCAGGAAGTCCAGCGTTCTCGACAACTGGCACATATGGCGGAAAGAATGGGAAAGGTACATACGGTTCAAAGTCGAGTTATCATGCCGGTTATTCTATATACAACGCAGGCTTATCAGCTACAAATTTGAATTCTCAAGGCACAAATACAGGCATCAGTAATCAGTTGTTAGCAAGTCAACAAAACAGGAATATGTTGACCAACAATAATATCAACACACAATGGAACCAGGCAAGTAACTTTAACAAAAACTCTTTCAACAATAACAATGGATTTCTGAACAATGGGAGGGGGCAGTTTGCACAAAATCCAGTCGTCTGGAATAACGGTGTAACCGTTAATAACGGTATAACTCGTCACGTCTTCCCTAGGTCCGTTAACTTTCAGAGTGGCACATCCTACCAACCAACTCCAAACCAGTACTCAAAACCGATTGGAACAATCCAAAAGAATTCACATCTCTCTCAGAACGAGTATGGTACCAGTCATCAATCTGGATACGGACAAAGCAACAGTATAGCCCACCCTAATACAAGGTTACAAGTACCAACAAATGTAAACTGGCAAGGACATCAAAGGATACATAATGTACAAAACACTCGGGTCGGGCAGGGAACGCGGAATTGGGCTAACAATGCTGTAAACACAGCCAATAACAACTGGCAGAATAGTGGCGACTTTAATTCTGGTAACAATGCAAATATAAACGGAGCAGGAACCGGACAAAGGCTACCAGTACCAGAAACAGTTACGTCACGCATGCGTATAATGAATCCTAAAGTTACTCCGCCGTCTGACAATACATTTAATTTACCTGGAATCGAAAGTGCTTCAAGATTTCAAGTAAATAGTCCCAGAAATATCCTTGAAACATCTCAACCAATTAAAAATCTTGTTGGTTCAAGAAGCACATCAAATGGCGCAGTTTTACAGAATGGTGGAGGAAAATTGAATGCCATTTTCACAGAAGCACAGAATAACAACAATTCAGGTGCAGGAAAAGGTAGACCACGATTTCTTGTAAATGAATGGTATAATATGCTGTTAAAACGGTTGCAAAGTGAAGGATCGAGAAGTTTATAAATAATAAGTTTCCGACGTAGTATTTAAAAGAAGAAAAAACAGACCTAAATGAGGACAGAATATCATTTTGAAATTGCCGGGTTTGAAACTACGTCAGCACATCGTGGGCTTGTCACAGACATAAACTCATACAGTACAGTGACGATATTGTCGGCTTTTATTGATCAGTAGCCAAACGTTTCACTTAAGTTATATCTTAACAAACCACTCAGTGAGGAATGAAATTGTCACGGTGAAAATTTCTATCTTAGAAGAAGCCAAAACAGTTTACATGTTTACATTTACAATTACAGAAACGAGTGCCAGCACGCATCTCTAAACAAGATTGCGTTATTTAGAGCCTTTAATTCGGCTTTTGATCTTCGTCTTTATATTGATGACTTTTTTATAAGTTGAACTCTGACATCTTGCCAAAATGTTCTAAATGAAAAACTTGTATATTTTGTTTAAAAAATGTATTGTAAAATTGTTGGAATATGACTTAATCAACAACTGACACATTGCCTCAAAGTCTTCTAAATTAGGATATTGTTTCAAATGTCTTAATAAGCATTTTAAAACATGATATTGTTTTGTTTGAACTTTATTGTTTCAATTCAATGTTATCAATAAAATAATCTTGTTAAGTGTTATTGTCAATACATATCAACAACGTTTGCAACTTAAATAAACTTAAGGTATGACCATCCTACTGCATTAGCGCCGCTTTGAAAGGTATTCAAATAGGCAACTGCATTGAAACTTAGGACCGTAGGTTCAAACCCCATAAGGGTCAACTTTTTTTTCTTTCATCACGTCCGGTCATAGTATATAAATGGATACGCCGAAGACCATAAGCTATACTAATGCAAGACTGGACATTGAAAAATATTTTTGTATGTATAAAGGATAGGTTACACGTTAAGCATTTTTCAAGATTCCGATAGGAAAATGAGACTAAAATGTTGTGTGTGTCTGTGTTGGGGGGTGGGGGTGTAGGTGGCTACCTCAAGGTGACTTTAAATATAAAACATCTTGATCCAAACTGGGAAGACAGATTTAAGGATGTCAATTTACGAGGGTCAGTAAAAACAACTGAGAATTGGTATCATTTTTAACGTACCTGGAATTCCAGGCTTGGACCTTGGAATAATATCGCATAATATATCATATCCCAGCGGCGTCATTGAGTATTATATGAAGTCATTATTCTAATTTATCAGCCAGGTAATCATAAGAACTTAATTTTACCGATGGGTTTACAAAATAAACAGGGACGACGAGGAAGAACACAAGTGTGCGTGAGGACCTAGTACATGGTGACGGCTTGAAGACAGGCCCTTTGCTTGGCACCAACTGCCATTATGATTTACAGCCCTCTGACAGTTCACCACCCCCCCCACCTCCCCCAATTTTTGTATTTTTAATGAGTTTTACAATATTTAATGTGGGAAATGTTAAATGTATACTAATGTAAGCCTGGACATTGAAAAATATTCTTGTATGTATAAAGGAAAGGTAACACGTACATTAGCCTACTTTTCGGCTCAAAATTCATATATTTGGCTAATACTCCAAGGAAATTGCACAGAGAAAAATTAACACCACTATGTGCTTCAAAATTAACTCTACAAGGGCATAGCAGGACAGTATAAAGGTGAGATGTCGGGGGTCTTTAATAACAAAATTACTTATATGCGGATAGACCCTCATTAAACTTAATCTAAACAAACAAAAGGTATTTGACTTTTACACCCCTTACTGATTTTATGCTCTAAAATCAGTTTCAAACATTACAGTCATGGTCGATGTTTGACATCTAGCTATGATATTAATACAGCAACGGTATATATAAGCTCTAGCTCTTTCAATTTTTTAAAAGATTTTTTATTTTGAAAAATAAATCTTCTAGTTGCCATGGAAACCAGAGTTCTTATGGAATCTAATTATTTAAAAAAAACTTTGGTAAATCTTCATGCAAGGAACATCCCTGGAAAGTTTCAACAAATTTTGCCAAGTGGTTTAGGAGGAGAAGTTGTGGACGCCCGCAAGCACAGATGATGAACAATGAGCCATCACAAAAGCTCACCTTGAGGACATTGTCCTCAGGTGAGCTAAAAACAACACAATCTCTTACATGGTGTGTGGCAATTAGTAGACATATTTATTTACAAATTAAAAAATTACACAAAATATAAAACAGATAGATGTAGCTCTAGTTGTCAATTAACATACATGTATACATGTACAATGTTCTCTGTTTTCTATAGCATGCTCAACAATTACAAATGAATAAATCTTTTCAGTAAGTTTGAAAAAAAAACAAAAACAAAAAAACTCAAAGAAATAAAAAGAAACAAAATAGAATACTGAAAATCATTAATTAAGTTTCAACAACACCTTTGTATTTATCCTTAAAATCCCAGTTACTGGTATCAGTAAATACCAGTGCCCGGTTAAAATGAAAAAACAAATCATAATGGGTTTTATTTGCAAACAAATTGAACTATTTATCCTGAAATAGAACTTTATAATACAGAGTAACAGCATTTTCATTAATTCTCTTTAAAATAACAGCATTTTCATTAATTATCTTTTTAATAACAACATTTTTATGAATTCTCTTTATCATAACAACATTTTCATTGATTCACATTATAATAACAGCTTTTTCATAAATTCTCTTTATAATAATAGCATTTTCATGAATTCTCTTTATAATAACAGCATTTTCATTAATTTTCTTTATAATAACAGCATTTTCATTAATTCTCTTTTTTAAATAACAGCATTTTCATTCATTCTCTTTATCATAACAACATTTTCATTGATTCACATTATAATAACAGCTTTTTCATAAATTCTCTTTATAATAACATTTTCATTAATTCTTTTTATCATATAACACCATTTTTATTATTTTTTTCATAATTACTGCATTTTTCATTAATTCTCTCAGCAGAGTAGTCCTTCTATTCAAAGTATAAAGATCTTCAAATTGCACAGTTTCCTTGTAAAAGAGGGGGAAGCCACTCTGTTTATCTATCATTGAAGGGAAAGAACCCCTCCACAATATGACGAATTATGTGTCTTTTCTCTGTAATTACACTGTTCATATCTTCCTGAGTTTTCCGCAATATATCAATGTTCACCTGATCTACAGCTTCATAAAATGCTGAAGAGGAAAAAACAACAACAAAGATTTTATATATGTTTCGTAAGATTTCTTTAGATTATTATGTTAAATTTTACAATTATCTCTCCTTATGTCCAGAATGCTAATATACATGTAAGATGGCAAAAAGAATACAATAACTTACTAAGCATGTAAGACAAAATGAAAAATCTGATCACGTTTACGTCTCTTTCTCTACATAAGTAATCACTTACAAAAAAAATCAGCATAATTAGATAGTGTACAAATGTTCCTAATTGAAATTCATATAATAACTTCATATAATAGGAGAGAACAAGTTGAGTACAATCATAAACTTTACACACACTTTACTAGACTGTTTCTTGAAATGACAAAATTCTACATCAAGGATTAACCATGAAACATAACAAGGAACCTATTGTAGGTTGGAGCTTACCAGCCAATCAAAAGCCTCCACTATATCTAAATATATCTTATTTATCTTATATTGATAATATTGATATTGATATTTCCTTTACAGTCTCTTTGTAAATATAAAGTCAACACATTCTGATTTCACACAAAGTAGATATGTTATGTTTAAAAGTTTACACATTAAAGGTGGTCACAATATGAATATAATTATAGTGTCATTAAAAACAAGCAATTATCATAGTATTGCAAGCAATTCGCAAGTCCCCAACCGGTTAGAACCCCAGCAACATTCTGATGGGCCATTGGCCATTCAATTTTACCAGTGGATGAATGACATGAATGAACCTAAATCTTTTGAGTTCTAAGTTTGTCTATATCACAGTAATGTGTTAAGTTTCCCTGCCTAGTAAGAAAATTATGTTTATACAACCTTGTCATATTATTATGATGTAGGATTTTAAAGTAAATCCTATAAGGAATGAAGAAGTTGGAGTGAAAAATACCAATTTTTTGAAAAAAATCTAAGTTCAAGGGGGAGATAATTCTAGAATAGTATTGCTAGAGTATTTAACCTTTTAAAAAATGTTGAGTGATAATAAGAAACATATATATGAAGTTTGAAGTAGATACATTAGGAAATAAAGAAGTTATTTAAAAAAGACAACAATTTTTTTTCATAAAATAAGTTCAAGGGAGGTAATACTGATAATTTTTGTGCTAGAGTTGTAAACCTTGTCACATATGATGTGGTTGATGGCCAGAAACTTATATTTAAAGTTTGAAGTAAACACCTTAAGAAACAAGAGCACCGCTAGGCGGAGCATTATATGCCCGAAAGTGTTTTTTTTTTTTTAATAAGGATGAAGCATTTATAAGACATGGGAATTAGCTGTTCATCCTATAAAATTTTACAGCTGTAGGTTGATTAATACTAGTTATTAATAATGACCTTAACCTTTGACCTTTTGACCCCAAAATCAATAGGGGTCTTCTACCTTATATGGACAATCATCCCAAAAAGTTTGAATATTGCTGGCCAATTGGAACTTTAATTATGCTCTTGAAACTGTTTTCAGTATTAAGGTAAAAGTGACATTGACCTTTGACCTTGTGACCCATAAATCAATAGGGGTCTTCTACCCAATATGGACAATCATCCTACGAAGTTTGAATATTGTGGGCCAAATGGAACTTATGTTATGCCCCGGAAACTGTTTTTGGTTTTAAGGTAATTGTGACCTTGACCTTTGACCTAGTGACCCAAAAATCAATAGGGGTCTTCTGCCCAATATGGACAATCATCCTATGAAGTTTGAATATTGTGAGCCAAATGGAACTTAAGTTATGCTCCAGAAACTGTTTTCAGTTTATAGGATATAGTGACCTTGACCTTTTGACCCCAAAATCAATAGGGGTCTTCTACCTAATATGGACAATCATCCTATGAAGTTTGAACACTGTGGGCCAAATGGTTCTTAAGTTATGCTCCAGAAACTGTTTCCAGTATCAATGTAATAGTGACCTTGACCTTTGACCTTGTGACCCCAAAATCAATAGGGGTCTTCTTCCAAATATGGACAATCATCCTATGAAGTTTGAACACTGTGGGTCAATTGGAACTTAAGTTATGCTCCGGAAACTGTTTTCAGTATCAAGGTAATAGTGACCTTGACCTTTGACCTTGTGACCCCAAAATCAATAGGGGTCTTTTGCCCAATATGGACAATCATCCTATGAAGTTTGAACTTTGTGGGTCAAATGGAACTTAAGTTATGCTCCGGAAACTGTTTTCAGTTTTAAGGTCATAGTGACCTTGACCTTTGACCTTTTGACCCCAAAATCAATAGGGGTCTTTTACCCACTATGGACAATCATCCTATGAAGTTTGAACATTGTGGGTCATTTGGAACTTAAGTTATGCTCCGGAAACTGTTTTCAGTATCAAGGTTATAGCGACCTTGACCTTTGACCTTTTGACCCCAAAATCAATAGGGGTCTTCTACCTTATATGGACAATCATCCTATGAAGTTTGATCATTGTTGGTTGAATGAAACTTAAGTTATGCTCCGGAAACTGTTTTCAGTTTTAAGGTCATAGTGACCTTGACCTTTGACCTTTTGACCCCAAAATCAATAGGGGTCTTCTACCCAATATGGACAATCATCCTATGAAGTTTGAACATTGTTGGCCAAATGGAACTTAAGTTATGCTCCGGAAACCAAATTGCTAACGGACGGACGGACGGACGGACGGACGGACAGACAGACAGACAGACAGACGGACGCCAGGGGGTATAACATAATATGCCCTTTCGGGCATATAATAAAGAACTTATAGCTCAAATCAGAAATCTTGAAATTCAGACTATTTGTTGCCATAGCAACCAGAATTTTCAACATAGGAAGAAAAGAAAAAGATGTGCATAATCTCCAGACTGCCATCTACCCATATTTCAAGTTTCATAAAAATATTTTCAGTACTTTTAGAGTAATCACTGGATCCCGTTTATGTGTTAAATTTGCCATATTTTCAGACTATTTGTTGCCATAGCAACCAGAATTTTCAACTTAGGAAGAAGAAAAAAAGACGTGCATAATGTCCATACTCCCATCTATCCATATATCAAGTTTCATAAAAATATTTTTTAGTACTTTTGTGTTATCGCGGGATCCAGTTTTATGGACGGACGGACTGACAGACAGACAGACAGACAAACTGACGGACGGACAGACGGACGGACGGAGGGTAAACCTAAAGTCCCCTCCGGTTAAACTGGTAGGGGACTAAAAAACTGGCAGTTTTTTTTTTAAGAAAGGACTACCTTTACTTGACCTCTAATAGAAAACGCAGCTTATCACACATAGTTTACTAATTCTTTTATTCAAATTAAACAGTAAGAATTTCATAGATTTCAATAAATTTCAGTGATACAAATATTTTACTTATGGATGAGCAGAGTACATCATAACATGTAGTATATCTTTAAATATGCACAAAAACAGATAATGTATAATTCATGTATATTTTTTTTTTCATAAAAAATATTAAGTGTCCCAATTAGCTGAAAGTCTATGCAGACAGAAAGTTTAACTGGCATGTAAAATGGACAAAAATCATGCAAAACTTCTTTTCAAATTATGCAAACTAGCCCTTACACTGATTGTAACTGTGTATATCATTGGTTGAAAAATTCATGAAAAAATGCTACATATTGCATAAAACATGGAAGAAATCTCATCAAGTCAACATAAACATTAGTGTGTATCTTAAACCTTCACAATATTCTATGAAAGTTTTATTCTCTAAAAACACACTTATCTAAGGTGTGTCACTTTACAACTTCCCCTTAAAATTATCAGTCATATAAATTTTGCTTACAGCTATTAACATAAACAATTCATCAATTTACATAAATATATCAACCTTTATCATATCTCAGTATATAAATATCAACTAGAAAACTGTTTAACAAGACAAAATATGTTGCTCATGAAAAAAGTATATTTCTGTGCCCTTGTCATTTCTATCTTCTATAAAACTGTTTCATGATATTTCAGCGCCAAAAAACTGTACGTCCTGGTATATTTATATTCAAACTAGTGTTAGAGCCTACAGTGTATAAAAAGAAAATTTTGCCTAAGAATTTCTTTAGAAGGTCAAACAAGTGTTTGATAATGGGCTTACAGCATATCAGATATCAATAATCTGAAGAAAGTAACAGTGTAACAATGTGCCATAAAGGTAGCAAAATATAAAATAACAGGTGTTAGCAGAATTCTATATAAAATACTAAAACACTATATTACTATACCCATTACCAAAGTGTAAAAGTATTATCAAAAGATGGTGCATATGAGTACCTTTTTTGGAAAATGGAATAAGATACCAATAATTAAGAGCTGTCAGTAACTAAGGACAGCCTGCATGACGATAGAAAAACAAGAGCCTGAATAATGTGGAATCTTGTAAGTTTAAAGAGGTTCATAAATCTGTCAAAATCTGTGTTAGAGTTATGGGCCTTGAACAGTGACCCCTTATTATGCTCTCAAATAAATGTGTTTGTTTCAACCTATTTCCTTCAGTAGTTTTCAAGATATCAATTTGCACACAAAGTTTGCACACGAAAACTTAACCAAAGTGTGATGCCATCACCTGGGCGAGTACAGTAGCTTTCCCTATTCTTTGAATGGACAATCTAATAAAACATGATTATATTTTTAAGGATTAATGGCCTATAACAACTTACTCTCATCCTGACAGACCATATAGACAACAGCCCATACTGAACCACTGAAGATCTCAGATGGTAGTGGAAACTCATGTTGTAGATACAGTAAACTACCCAACATAGAATATGCATGTCTATATAGATCCTGCAACAAAAACAAAACTGGGCTGAATAGAAAACAAGAACTGTGCAGAAATTCTCTCATTTCATAAACTGAAATAAATCAAAGAAAATTCATGTTTGGGCGTGTATATGGAAAAGGGTTTTTTAAGCATGATCGCCAAGACAAGTGTGAAGTTGCAAATCAATACCTTCAGTAGTTGTTGGGAATTTACTGAATCAAAGACAGTAAAATTCTAATATCAATAACTTTACTGAGGCGTGTCAGCTCAATAGGTAGAGCGCTGGACTGTGAATTAAGAGACACCGGGTTCAATTCCCGGACGGCGCAGGTCACTTTCGTTGTGATTGATCATGAAATCCTTTCTACCATCATTTGCGCTGTACCTCTGCTCTGGCATGTACAGAAGTGTCAGTTCCTTGCGAAAGTAAAGGCAACTAGTACTGGTAAACTGCTTGAAACCTGCCCAGGAACAATGCGGTGGTTGAACTGTGCTCTGGTGAATTCAATGTGGCTTACTGTCCTGATCCGGAGTGAAAACTACCAATTCCAACCAAAGAGGCGTGTCATCCTACAAAGATCACTTCAAGGGAGAGAATTCTTTTCAAAAAATATTTCTTTTTGCACATTTGACTATTCTGATAAATTTTTGTTATGCGAAAAAAGTATTTCCAATATTAAATTCTTGTAATATTAAAATGTTGCTGTAGTAAATTGAACATTTTGCATTTTGCATAACAAATTTACTTCAAGGCCCTATCAACCATTTATGAGTGTACAATTGAACAATAATGCAGTTTAGAGTTCAAAAGCACAAAAATATAAATATAATTCAATAAAACAAGGAGATCATGATGATCCCTAAATTGCTCACTCAAGATCCTTTGCTAGAAAATGTAATTGAGCCGCGTCACGACAAAACAAACATTGTGCGTTTCCTACCAGCATGGATCCAGACCAGCCTGCGCATCGGTGCAGTCTGATCAGGATCCATGCTGTTCGCTTACCAACTCTATTACAAACAGAGAAACTGATAGCGAACAGCACGGATCCTGATCAGGATGCGCTGGCTGGTCTGGATCTATGCTGGTCGCAAACACATTATGTTGGTTTTGTTGTGACGTGGCTCAATTATTTTTACAATGCAGACAGAGAGACAGGGCCATTATAATGATGGTCAAATTTTGATTAAACACACTGAGTTATACAAGTTGTCCAACATGAAATCTTAATCATCTTAGGACTGTAAGTCCAATTATGTGTAAGAGATGAAGAGTTTTTCATTGTATACAAGGGGTATAAAGTGAAAATTTATGACCTCCAGGAATGGTATCAATTTTCATACAAAAGTAATAATTTGAACAATCTTGGTAGATCCTTGGTTTCATGCTAAATATCAAAGCTCTATCAGTTGGTTTTATTAATGAAAAACAACGAATGACGGCAGATGCGGGGCAGGGTGGGATCACAAAAGCTCACCATGAGCAAGTTGTACTCAGGTGAGCTAAATATTGATAATTTTCATCAAAGTGAGCCTTTTTAAAAAAGGTTATTTGTATTTGATGAGTTTTGACATAAAAAATCGTACCATGAACCAGTTTCCAATCGTCACACATCTTGCTGTTGGTTTCAGCACTATCGTCTGATAGTATGACTCATGCATTTTTGGACGTCCCATCACCATGGCAACCAAGGCTAGGTACTCATTTTCTGTTAAATGGAGATTACGACCCCAGTTCATTAACAAGAAGTAGCGCAGGAGATGAATCGTGAATCCATTCTTCCTCCCATACATGTCAAACCAGTTTACAGAGCAGTTCCCTGTTAACACATGATAAAATCATAAAAACAAATAGTCTAAAACATATATAATTGCATATGCATTAAAGGAACTCCACTGACGTCCAAAAGCCTAAAACATAAAATTTGAATTTCTTACATAGATACTGGTCGGAGACCATCAACCGGACACTTTTGGAACATTTTTCCGTACAGATTTCATAATTTTTAACCTAGAGATAAAAAAAAATTGACACAGTTCAGCTAGGTTCTTCTCTTAACTAACAAACTAGTTTGTTTATTTCTGATTGCATTGACACTTATATCATATGCTCGACAAGGAGGGTATCAAAATTACCTACATTGTCTACACTACAGTACCATGTGTCCGGACAGATATGTACATGATGTGATTTAATTCAGATAAAAGCTTGGGTGTTTTGATTTTTGATTTGTAACATGCTATTCAATATGTCAGCAACAAATGCTGAAGTTTTGGATATTCTATTATTCACTCTGCCAATGATTATAGCTGGTATATGAGGTCAGGCATTGCTTTCATGACCCCCGAATTTCAAAGTCAACATTCTTGAAATAGACATTAAAATATTACCATTTACGGAGGTTGAAATAAATCTATTTACTTAATTTTAAAAGAAACATGCACTTATTGTTGATAAAAAAGTGACTGACAACCACTGAACAAAGAAAATATTAAATTAAGCATTTTCGGGGCCGTCCGGGTTTGGTGGTTGTCCGGTTTTGGTGGTCCCCAACCAGTAAGGTGGCGCACATTAAACAGAAATACTTGCAAAAGATAACTAAGAAATATACTCAGATATAAATTGTTATCATATTTTTTGTGCTATTCCTAGCTAGATTAAGTGAAAAGCATTGCAATGCTTTTTCAATTTTATGTCATTTTCCACAACGAGAATAATTATTCTGGATAAACGGAGTGAGCAAATAATCTGAAATTGGTCTAGGTCAAGTGGGACATTAATCTCGACAAAAATATTTCCAAAAAACCTCAGTTGAGTCCCTTTAATATAAACCAATATCAAAATAAACAGCTACATCCAGAGAATAAGTCATTGATCATTAATTATATTTTGTAATTTCATAAATAAATATTACAATGGAATGAAGTGAACAATAGAGTAGATATTTGTGTAAAGATTAATCACAAGGAAGTATAACTCCATATGTTCATACAATAGACAATTATAATTTCATAATTACATGTACATAAACTAACAATAAAAGTTGTAAGTACACTCAAGTTTTTTAAGTGTTTTCATGATAAACAAACAAGAGCCTGAAAAATGTAAGTTTTAACAAAATGGAAGAAAATGTATTCAAAAACATATGATGTCATGGATATAAGTCTTTGAAATTGACCTATAATGTTACTTCCAAAGAAAATGTGTCTCAAATGATTGCAACCTTCAGTAGTTGCGGAGATAAAATTAATACACAAAACTTAAACCAGGCATTATAGCAGACTTGAAAACTGACCTATATTTATGGCATTGTGTGATCACTACCTAAAGTGGTTGTACATGAGAAATGTCTCCATTTCAAAGCATCTAAATTATATCCTATTTTAATAAACTCTATCCTACATATATATATCATCATAAACCACTCCTCCATGCCCAACTTCATCAGACCACTATCCAATACTTTTTCCTACCATATTCTATACTACCAATACCTACCCTACCACACCCAACTCAATCCCATCTCCCTACCCTACCTACCCTATTACTATCTTATCATACAATTATCATTTTTAGATTTGGAAAAAAAAAATATCTTGAAATTACCTCGTTCTTGATGACATAAAATGGAATGAAATGTTCTCAGATTTTGAAAGATTTTATCAGGTTGTATGCGATGAATGGGTGGAGCTATACCTTCTTCAGCTGCCATTATCTGTGGGAAAAAATTATCATAAAACAATAGAAAATAAATTTCTTAAAGTGACAGTCTTTCCTACAGACAGAAATAAAGAAAAAATTATCATACAAATTATTATTGTTATATCCAATACAACAATGGCTGCCTCAACAAAATCTTTGTTTCACGATGATAGTGAATGAACATGCAACATTTTTTCATTTGAAACTGGTTAAGTCTGTATGGTAATATACTGGAATATAATATTACATTTTTACTCTACATGTATATCCTGCATGAACATGGAATTAGGGTATCTGTCAAAAGATCAAATATAATGGCTGCATGGCCGAGTTATTAACATAAACTACTACTCTAAGCATCACTAGCCAGGCACATGGATTCAAACCATGTCTGGTACAAAATCTTTACACTCATTGCTTGATGCTGATTGGTTCTAAGAACAGATTTGAGCCTGATTTTATGAGCTAGTAGCTTCCTTCATAATTGAACTTATATAAAATCTGTATCAACAAATACTAGTAAGACTACCTAGATAGCTTCTCATTATATCCTATATTCCAGGTAACACAGAAGTGAGGGATATGTCTGTGTTTCACATGTTTTGTCAACCAGATAAACCAGGCTTTGCTTTATAAAAACACTACAGAACTGTAAGAGATTTTCAAAAGTTACAAATACAATTTCAATGGATGATTAATTTACCCCTGCTTTTCTAAGTTTTTCATACGGGCTCCTGCCCCATTCTTCTACCAGATTTTCATGCCTCGGTAAAACAATTCTGTAAATATATGCTCGTAGAGGTGTCAGAGAACATTCTGCAGTTGGCTGCCCATAACTGTTCTCTTCCAACAGCATTCTATACCAGTAAAAGTTATTATGCATACTCATGATGTTTGAAGGATACTTCCCGTCCCTGATTCCTTGCTCTATTAGCTGAAATGAAACAAGATAACAAAGTATTTCAACGGTAATACAAGACATGCCCACGGGCAGAATGTCTGGCCCAATCATCTTAATTTAAACCTGAACCTATTAGCTCCAGATCAATGAGAAAGATTTATACATAGGTGAGATGTGCTCAACACATCCTCTTTATACCCAAGGCAAAATCTTGACATTGCATCATCTTAGGGGACCTTGACCTCTGACACGGTGACCTGGTTCATGTGCATGACATGAAGTCTCATGATGAAAATTTGTGCCTAAAAAACACAATTCATGTTATCTGAAAATTCCTCCATGCATGAAGAAGTTATGGCATGGACAAGTTTAGACGCACACACTCACACACAAACAATTAACAGCCATTTTGACAACTAAGTCAAGCTCATTGCAAGTGGGCTCGACAAAAATTTGCTGACCACTAAGCATAATACTTCAAAGCATAAGCAAGATACAGCGTGGACAAACAAATTTTTATTTTTTTTATTTGACCTTTGACTTGTTCTGACTTTCACCTTCATTTTGCGCAAGATAACTCAACACAAAGGTCAAGGAATTTTCCGCCTGACACTCCGCTACACTATGGAGAACATTTGTCCCAAGTTATTAAAGTTATAATAAAATCCTACCATGTAGAAATTATGCTCCAGTCCCCCACGCCTGTTAAACTAACAATGTTTACTGTCAATATGAACTGACAATGTTTAATACTGACTGACAATGTTTTACTGAAAATATGAATTGATACATTAATTGAAAATGTAAACTGACAGTTTTATAGGAAATGTTAACTCACAATTTTAACCAACACAGCAATGTATCATACTATGTCAAGCACTTAAATGACTTTATTTTATAAAAACAAATAAATTAAGTTACCTGAGATAAATATCCTTTCTTTGGTGGTGCATCTGGTTCACCTCTTAAATTATAGAAATTTCTACTATGATACACAGCTTGTCTGAAATACTGATCTTGATGCTGGAAAATATATTATATTAATATAAAGCCTTGACCTGCTGAATATTTTCAGTTGCAAAAAATCTGTCATTATTTAAAGGCCCATCATGTCTAAAAAATGCTTTTACTTTCATTTCTTAAAAGTTTGTATTTTGGTGAACTTAAGTAGTTTCCATATGAATGTTACTAGTTGGCCAAACACCTGAACCATCTTTTTTCATCTGTTGCTTTTTGGCAGTTATAGTGATTTAGTATTTTGTATGGAAGTCAAAATACTACTTTGTTTACATTTTGCTACTTTTATGACAAATGATTTCACAATTATAAATATTTTCTTCAGGTTACAAGCACCATACATGCTCTGAAACCATTATTCTAACATAATAAAATTCATGTTATGTTTGTCCTTTCCAAAGAAATAAAGATTTTTTCGTTCCTGAGGCATAATGAGCCTTTAATGGGAAAATTTGGAAATATAGATAATAGCATAAAATCATTTCAAGCAGTGGTAAGTTATTAGATAATATATTAAGTAACTTTACACACCAAATAATTGATGAGCACTTAACTAATTCTAACAAATTGCACAAAATAACAAAAGCTGTCGGTAGGACAGCACGCACGACTATTCTAAGTGCTTGATAGTAAAAGAGCCTTGATAATGTTTAATTTTTTAAGTTCACAAAAGGGCTAATTTTTTTTTATAAATTCATGTTATAGGCCTTAGAGAGAGTCTAATTATACAATATTGCCTTTACTATTCGGAAGGAAATGTCACAAGGGTGTTTTATTGAGTATAATAATACTAATTACCTAAGAATACATAAATTTGACAGGAAAGGTACAAAGGCTTGTTATTAAGATGTTTTATCAAGTAAATCACTGCTTTATTATCATGAATGCATAAAATCGTCCCAAAAAAAAACAAACCCTTAAGTAGTTATTGAGATAACAGCTTACAAGCAAAACTTTACCATGAATTTGTAAGTTGAAAAAAGGAGAGAAAAATCAGCCTAAATGCAAGATAGAATTATGGATGTTTGTCAGTGACCTACAATTATGACCCTAAATGCATATGAGAAGTTTTAAATAAATATCTTTAATAGTTATTGAGATATGTAAAACTTGCATGTAAACATTAACCAAGAGACTAAGTAGAAAAGGGGATATGAATCAGCCTTAATGCAACATGGAACCTTTAATCAAAATTTCTTAGTTCCAAAGGGGCATAATTCTGTCCATATTGTAGGCAGAGTTATCCAACTTGTCAATCTGATGTACCTTGTTACTATAAATAAGTAATGTAAGTTTCAATTGAATATCTCAAGCAATAATTGAGATATTTGACTTTACAAAAACTTTTAACCAAAATTTCTAAGTTAAAAAGGGGCATAATTCTGTCAATATTGTAGGCAGAGTTATCCAACTTGTCAATCTGATGTACCTTGTTACTATAAATAAGTATTGTTAGTTTCAATTGATTATCTCAAGTAATAATTGAGATATTTGACTTTACAAAAAACTTTAACCAACGCAGACACCGACGCGGATGCTGACGCTGACGCCGGGGCGACTACAATAGCTCTCATATTCTTCGAATAGTCGAGCTAAAAATGCCTTTGTCTTATAAAATCAAAATGAATAAGTTTTTACCTACAGTTTTGTGTGTATGTATGGGGTAGTTTTTTTTCAAGCAAGAAACAAATAAAAATACTTATGTAAATAACACTAACTTTGTAAATAAACACTTGAGTGCTTATAATACAAACTATAATTACTAATTTGTCAATTTGTACCACACAGTCCCTGTCTGAAATCAGGTCAATAAAAATTTGTCTTGCTGAACTAAATGTACATCAGCAATTTCAAAATGTTCAACAGAATTCTTAATGACTGTACAAGACAGTATAACTTTTAACATCCCCATATCAAGCATTTGAAATAGGAGAGGACACATGTGAAATAAATGCAGGTTAAAACTTGCTAATTTATTGTCTTTATACCTAATGTTTGAACTTCTCATCTTGTCATTGTTATATATTAATATTACAACAGATTTTTCTACAATAGTTCCGTATGTACACATTCAAAAAGGTAAATATTGAAATACATGAAATACAACCATACATTAACACCTTTCAAATTATTTTAGTTACTGATCTTAAATTGTATTTTGACAATGGATTTTAAGAATGACTTACCATGGCATCAGCTAATACAGGATGATTCTGTACATTTCTGTAATGTTTAATCCAGCCGGCGAAGTTTTGTACAGATTTACGCCCTCGAACATCAAGTTGTTGACTAAGTCCTGCACGCATGAACGGACCTGTGAAGTCATTCCCAGCAACTATACTCATTTCTATCAACAACTGATGGTTATTTAACTGATAAATAACAAAAATGATCATTTAATACTTGACACTTTTTCATTATTTTCAGATTTTTTAATTTTTTTAAAAAAATAGATATTTTTAAATGTACATGTAATTTGAAAATTTTCTAATTGGAAGACTTCTAATGACTATACATGTTCATAAGTTCCAGATGACCATATATGTCAATAGGTTGATGCCTATTAGTTCAAACAGATGTGACCATATACATGTATATTCATCAGTTTCAGCACAGATGACCATATATGTCCATCAATTCATGTTTACTAGTTCAAACAGATGTGACCATACATGTTTATTAGTTGAAACACAGATGACCATATTTGTTTATCAATTTAAACATAAGTTACCCTATATGTTTATAACACTTACTGTAAACACAGATTACCACATATGTTCATTGGTTTTAAAACAGATCAACATACATGTTCTTAAACCATCTTTAACTTGCTGAATTTTGGGTAATAACTTTGACCTGGTTGAAACAGTCAATTCAAAGTTCAAAATACAAAACAGTATATTCGCCTGGTCAGACTTTATAGATGTGCAAGCTGGCTTTGCTCATTAATGGTTGTAATGTTTAAAAACTTTTCGTTCTAATAGTGTGATGCATTTTTCTCAAAAAAAAAATTGTGTTGTTAATGTTAATGTACAAATTTAAGAACATATTAAAGTATTTCCAATAGTTATAAATGCAATAAAGAAATTATCTGCCCATAGAAAACAATTACCTTCAGCATTGACATAACTTTTTCTGTATGAATGACCTTCACCTTTAACCTTACTGGTTGCTCTGGCAATTCCAAAGGTTCACCAAGTTGGAGGTCATTTTCAATGTCAAACAACTGCATAGGTATAAGTCTGCTGTCTTTAAAAACACAGAAATCTGAGTCATTACTAATAATGGCAAAAGCCTTTGGTCTTTCTTTCAAGGCCTTAATCAACAGCATGTCTGCCTCACCAGCCGGACTTTGGTGAATTTCACATCCACAATGTTTCAATGCCATCCTAAACTGGTCTTCTAAAGCCACAGGTCTTATGTTTGTGTCTAATGGCAAATCTTTAATATCCGATTTTCCCCACAGCACTTTAAGTATTTCTGTCATTTTGTCAACATCCTGATTATGTCTACTTATCCATGTATCAAGTTTTTGACGCAGTGCCTCAGTTGAACTGCCTTTTCCACCATCAATGTACAATACCAATGAAATATCATTGGATTTTAAATCATTTACAAGTTTTTTAACATAAGCATCAAATGTTGCGTATTCACCTCCCAGAATTCTTAGATAGTCATTACCTCGGAGGCGGCTAAGTCCTATCCAAAATTTGAGAAGAATTTCCTGTTGGAATGAATAATAATCAATAATCAGCTCTATACCATTTTGTCGATGGGAAATCTCAATCAGATCAACAGTTTCTGAACAAAGTTCCTGGTTTTCAAGACAAGCTGATAATAAACCTCTTACACCCATCACTAATAATCTTATATTAAGCTATAATAATGATACACTAAAGATGTAGAACTCTCAGGCTTTCAGGAATCAATCTGAAAACATTAAAAGAAAGAAAAAATTGTATGTAATTACTTTTCTATTTAATGAAATGATTTACTATGTGATCCTATACAAATGAAGTTGTTAAAAGTCATGCAAATAAAACATGTGTATAATTCATGTTTATACTGGGAAGTCAAAGGCAGGGACTGCGAAGCTTGCACAAGCTTTAGCTTGCCCAGCTATAGACTACACATGTATATTTAAAAGAAAATCAAATAATAAAACAATAAAAGAATATATAGAATTCTATCAATGAAATTATCAGTGTCAGTTCTAGTTGGGCGCCGCCATTTTCAATACATGTAACTCAATGATAGTAGGCGGGGCATTCCAATAACAAACCATCGCAACTTTTTGGATTAATATTAAAGTCGAGTATTCCGAGTAAAATCAGTAAAAACAGAATTGGTGCATGAAATACCAAATGACTACTTTAAAACAGAAAATTGAAAGATTTTTTTAATTGACTTGCCCGTTCATACTATGAATCATAGGCGTTGCTAATTTTTCAGATTAATTATGAAATAATAAATAATAATAAAAACAAAAAATGAAATGAACAATTTTTTTAAAATGAAATGAACAATTTTTTTTAATCTGTCTTCCCGTTCATAAGTTTTTTCCTACTTACACATTATAAAAAGACGTTTTAAATTATTATATTTAAGTGAGGAAATCGTCAGTGTAGTGGAACGACTTGTTTTGGGTCGAATCGTCAGTGGGGCGAATCGTTAACAATTCAATAATTTATGTAGTCATATCTTTAAAACTGTTTAGTGACATTACAGTCACGTTATATTATAAATTAAGAACTTTCAATTTGAATATTCTGTTAAATATATCTATCTACCTCTCAGCTTATGTGAAATGACGCTATATTTGCTAATTTTGTCAATTTTCTAGAAATTTATTAAAGGGAAGTCACTACTGCCAACCGGTGAAGTAGTAACTTTTGTTAATATGAAAAGGCCACGTCTGTGAAAGGTAAACATATTGCTTCCTTTGATAAGGTGTGTTTTGAAATATGCAAATGAAATTGTTTAAATGTTTTATGACAAAAGTTGCCATATATAAATAATTCATTGTTTTTATGTCTCTAGATCTATAAATATTTTTATAATGTCATTAATGAATCTGTTTAAATTTCTTTTCTGTAACCCTGCTCAGCATACTCTGACAGTGACAGACAGAGTAAACTAATTTCTCAGTAAGTCAGTATATATGTTTTATTTTTTTTTATAACACTGCACTTTACAAATTGTTAGTTTGACATAAATTAATAAACATTAAACATTTTCATGTCCTAGATTTTGGCATTAACTCTCATTTAATCTTTGTTTATTTAGATTAAAATCTGGTTGGAAACAAGTATCCCGATACATATGTAGTTTCAAACCAATTATATTAAAATATTCAATGAAAAAGTTGGTTGGTACCAAGCAATTAATATACTTTTGATGCTGATGCAGATTCTAACAGTTTAACTCAACAATGCGTTAGATAGACATTCTATTTTTAGGGGGCCTTCTAATCCACTGTCTCAGGTCTTCAAAGACTGTCCATTAGTAGGTAATTTAACAAATCACTGGTCTCTTGGTTGATTGATGAAAGGGACGTAATAAGTTAAATGAAAAAAGAATTTCGCTTATTGGCCGGCTTAATTCACGAATTCGAAAACCTAGCTAAACGCCGTTTTCCGGTACTTTCTGTACATAGCTGTGGGGAATTCACCTAATGGAGTGTAATAACAAACTCAATGTTTCTGGCCTTTTTTATGATTTAAGTGAAATAAAACAGTTATTTCTTTGTAAGAAAAAAATTAAATATCATTGTCATTAAGTTCATGTATAATTGTGATAGCATTGATTTGTATTTGTAGTTCTCTTACAGTCAAGGGTCTTTTTAGACATACATGTACGTGTTACTATACAGTACTATAACCTACCTATCCTCTTTGCTCTTCCTCCAAGTCTTTGGTCTTCCTCGTGGTCTTTTCCCCTGTGGTGTCCATCTTAGTGCTGGTTTGGTGATGTTTGCATTTGGCATTCTGAGGACATGGCCAAGCCAATGGAAACATCTCTGTTTTATTTGTTGGACGATACAGATGGAATCATGCAGTCATCTTTACAGGGATTTTTTTTGGCTTATTTTATAGCCGTTATTGGGTCATATTTCCAATTGAAAATAGTATATTATTTTCCCAATCCACAGGAAAAATTCCCAATTGATAGTTACAAAATAAAAATATTGAATAAAAATTCTAAAATCTTTGCAAATAAGGGCTTCTTCACTGTAAGAGTGCTTAAATGGTTGAAGATGCCATCATAGACAGTAATTTGTTTGCATCCATTTAATCACTGCAAAATTTCAGTCAATGCATTTTTTCCCAATCTTTAACAAAACAACGCTAAAGTAGTAATGGTCGTGTTCCCAAAATCCTGGAAAAACTCCCTGTCAATAGTAGGTTGATATTTGATATTATATTCCGCAGATTTGTCAGAGGCTGCTGTGATAGAAGCTAGACAGTACTATAAGACCGTCGATTATTATAAAACTACTAAATGATGGTCTCTCTCTTGCTCTCTCCCCCCCCCCCCCCCCCCTGTTTTTTTAGATTTTCACAGATATTCCCACCTAACCTTTCATGTATGACAAGAATGTACTGGACTCTCCATTATGCACAGTTCTTCCAACATTCTCATAAATATAAACAGTGTTATAACAATTATTCTCTGTTTCAGCTGATCACAGAAAAGAAATCAATTGTCAAAGTCTATGAATGTTAGAAGATACAATATAGGGAATCAAGTACTTCATTCAATCGTTGAGGTCACACGAGATCTATATTCAAAAATGTCAGACAAAATGAAAAGACGAACAAATTCTAAAAAAGATATCGCTCTGGCTGATCGTGATTATGATTACGTTACAGTGCCTACTGAAGAAAGAAATGATGACAAAAAAACTGCCCCCCGTAGAGGCCTCCAAGGCGATTATGGGAACATAATGTTGTTGATGTTTCTTTACATTTTACAAGGAATCCCGCTCGGACTTGGTGGAAGTATACCTATGCTGTTACAGAGTAGGAAAGTGAGCTACAAAGAACAAGCATTGTTTAGTTTTATATACTGGCCTTTTAGTATAAAGTTACTATGGGCACCTTTAGTGGATTCATTATATGTGAAATGGTTTGGTCGGCGAAAATCTTGGATGGTGCCGACACAGTATCTTATAGGAATATTCATGCTTGTGCTCTCAGCACATATTGACGATCTACTAGGAACTGAAACAGATGAGCCAGGAAAAGTTGATATAAAAACACTGACAGCTGTGTTCTTCTGTCTTAATTTTCTAGCTGCTACACAAGATATTGCTGTAGATGGCTGGGCTTTAACAATGTTATCTAGGTACATGATTTTGTATTTGTTTTTCTAAGTTACTTTATCAGTTTAAATTGGGATTGATATATAGGATAACCTCTTATTCAAGAGACATAAAATATGAGCCGTGTCACGACAAAACCAACATGACAAAACCACCATAATGGGTTTGCGACCAGTCTGATCAGGATCCATGCTGTTCGCTTACAAACCCTATAACAAGTAGAGAAAGTGATAGCAAACAGCATGGATCCTGATCAGACTGCGCGGATGCGCAGGCTGGTCTGGATCCATGCTGGTCGCAAACCCATTATGTTGGTTTTGTCGTGACGCGGCTCATATATGTGACAATAGTGAATTTTAACTTCATTTTTAGCTTGACTATTCAAAGAATAGGGAGAGAAATTGTACTTGTCATAGGGTATAAATATTTATTACATAGTACTGGCAAATGTTTATTTACCTATACATAACCTATACCTGGTAACTGCCCAAAGCCAGCCCATAACTCTAACATGGATTTTGACAGAATTATGGCCCTTTTTAAACTTATAAAATTCTATATAAATATACACGAATAATGCAAGGTTTATTAAATCTACTAGCAGTTACTACTTTTATATATTTTATATATACAGTGTATATGCTACAAGAAACCAGTATTATAGAGCCAGATTCTGCACAATTGTCATTTTGTAATATATCACGTTACGTTGTATATGAATAGACACATCTAAATCAAAACAAATCAATTGCACAATGTGACAATCTAGTTATAACTGTGTCTCAGTAAAAGGCAGGGGTTATTTTTGTAAATGATCATATACAATACATGTATATAATTTTCCAGGCATAATGTTGGCTGGGCAAGCACTTGTAATTCAGTTGATATAAAAACAGCTGGGTACTTCTTAGCAATGTGTTATTTCTAGGGCTAGAATCTGCAGATTTCTGTAATAGTTACTTGAGGTCAGAGCCCAAAGATGTTGGTGTCATACTTTGCTAGTAAGTAATGATTTATTTTGTATTGATGCTGTATGTATCACTTACATATCTGGGCTTTAACAATGTTATCTAGGTACATGATTTTGTATTTGTTTTTCTAAGTTACTTTATCAGTTTAAATTGGGATTGATATATAGGATAACCTCTTATTCAAGAGACATAAAAAATGAGCCGTGTCACGACAAAACCAACATGACAAAACCACCATAATGGGTTTGCGACCAGTCTGATCAGGATCCATGCTGTTCGCTTACAAACCCTATAACAAGTAGAGAAAGTGATAGCAAACAGCATGGATCCTGATCAGACTGCGCAGATGCATGCTGGTCGCAAACCCATTATGTTGGTTTTGTCGTGACGCGGCTCATATATGTGACAATAGTGAAATTTTAACTTCATTTTTAGCTTGACTATTCAAAGAATAGGGAGAGAAATTGTACTTGTCATAGGGTATAAATATTTATTACATAGTACTGGCAAATGTTTATTAACCTATACATAACCTATACCTGGTAACTGCCCAAAGCCAGCCCATAACTCTAACATGGATTTTGACAGAATTATGGCCCTTTTTAAACTTATAAAATTCTACATAAATATACACGAATAATGCAAGGTTTATTAAATCTACTAGCAGTTACTACTTTTATATAATTTTATATATACAGTGTATATGCTACAAGAAACCAGTATAGAGCCAGATTCTGCACAATTGTCATTTTGTAATATATCACGTTACGTTGTATATGAATAGACACATCTAAAATCAAAACAAATCAATTGCACAATGTGACAATCTAGTTATAACTGTGTCTCAGTAAAAGGCAGGGGTTATTTTTGTAAATGATCATATACAATACATGTATATAATTTTCCAGGCATAATGTTGGCTGGGCAAGCACTTGTAATTCAGTTGGACAGACAGCTGGGTACTTCTTAGGCAATGTGTTATTTCTAGGGCTAGAATCTGCAGATTTCTGTAATAGTTACTTGAGGTCAGAGCCCAAAGATGTTGGTGTCATAACTTTAGCTAGTAAGTAATGATTTATTTTTTTATTCCAATTTGAATGCTGTTTGTATCACTTACATAGTATGTGTAATATTCTAGGGTATGTTTGTTATTTAATTGCATCTTTGTTAAAACAAGGTAGGAAATTCATTGTACAATCATGTTCAAATTTATGAAATATAGTACAAGTAATTATATTCTATAATAAACCTTAATTTCACATCAAATTGAATCTGTTTCTTTAAATAAAGGTTATTTGAAATACATACACTTGTAATGGATAGTGTTTTGGTTTAATTTATTAATATTATATTATTCAGGTTTCCTATACTTTTGGGGAATAGTATTCTTTGTAACAACGACTCTTGTATGGATGCTGAAGTCCGAGACAGCAGATCCTGAGGTGGATCCAGAACAAGGAATTATCGAAACATACAAACAATTATACAAAGTTTTATGTCTACCTCCAGTCCAATCATTTTGTATCATTCTTTTAACATCAAAGGTAATTTAGATTTTTAATGAATATGTTTTTATAAATCCAGTTGTCTGTCCGTTTGTCTGTTAGCAGGTTTCGTGTCTGGTCTGTATCTTTTGAACAAGTGGAAGGAAATTGAAACTACTTGTTTCAAAAAGTTTTATGAATTATACACCTAAGGGTAAAAAAAGGTCTCCACCTTAGAGGTTATATAGTAAGTATCTTAAGGATAATTAAGTTAAAACATTTCTGAGACAAGTTTATTGATTGCGTCTCTACTCTTAATTCAAAGATTATTTTTGATTACTCAAACAAATTTACATTCAGGTGTATATATCCCAGCCTTTATGGTGCTCTTGTTTACTCACCTATATCCCTTTGCCTGCTGGCAGCATAACAGATTTTACCCATTCAACCAGTGCCGTCTGATCATGGTCTGCACTGTTCATTAATCAGTACATATATTGGAATTTTCCCTAAAAATGATGAACATTTTTGTCCAGATTAAAAAATTAACAAGTCCTTTCAGATGTTTCATGTGCCAATGGTTATAAGGTGTCTTGAGAGCAAAAACACATGTGTATTCTTGAATTACATTGTGTAAGTTTTAAGCTTAACTATTGTGAGTACATGTTTTAATATAGAGAGAGCTTTCTTACATACCTAAATGTAGATGTAGATGTGTATAGCTGTGTTCATGCCGTTGCCACACTTCTGATTTTTATTTATTTGAACTACATGTATCTTACATTTTAACTTTTTTTTCTTGTTTGCAAAAGTGCACAGCTCTGTCATGGATTTTAAGATTATTACGCCCTTTTTTTACTTGTAAAGTTTCCAAAGACCTGTCCTTTTTTCCTCCATCAAGTTCTGAAAACAGTTGTCAGCAGTGACTTATGTCTTGTCATATTATTTATTGTCTCTTAACATTTCTTTCATATTTATGATATAGGATAAATTAAGTCTGATACTCTTTTGTCATCAACAACAACAACAACATCAACATGAACATTATTGTCTGTATATTTCAGATTGGTTTTGCAGCCGCAGATTCTCTCTCAGGGCTCAAACTTATTGAAGCTGGCATGTCAAAGACCACTCTAGCATTGTTTGCAATACCTATGGTTCCCCTTCAAATCATTCTACCTTTAATTATATCTAAATATACATCAGGGCCCAGACCTTTGAATATATTCTTAAAAGCAATTCCACCAAGGTAAGATTATTAATTTTACTTGTATGATAATAATATATATTGATTCTTGTTTTCAATAAAAAAGGTCCGTCTGCTTAGCTCAATATGGAGAGAGCATCACATTAATAATACAGGGGTTGCTAGTTTGATCCCCAGATAAGGTGTTAGTACTCCATGACAGTTGATCTCCAACTTTGAGTCTTATGGTCATTATATTTTGTTTCTCACTGCTGATTAGGAAATCATCAGGGATTAGTAGTCTTTTAAAATGCATAGAAATTGGTAATTATTGGTTATAAAAGTGAACATCATTTGCTTTCTGTCCAGGGCTCTATATTGTTAGCTGGCCAATTGTATAACATATTCTTTACATTGCCTTAATTGATTTATTAAAAATTGAACTGTTCATAAATGAAATTTTGTACAATAAAGGTTAAGGAAAAAAACAAAACACATTACTAATGATAATAAAATTTTTATCACAAACATTAGAACATCCCATTTATCAAGATCTTATAGTAAGCAAACTGTTGTTTAATTTCAGGTTGTTGTTGGGTATATTGTATGGCTGTATAGTATATTTTGCACACTATGTACAGGAAACTCCGGGACAATTCCCTAAATATTTCCTCGCTATAATTATAGGCAGTTATATGATACATCAGGTATGAAAGTTTTTCTTGTTATCCCTGTTTCTATGTTAATAATTTTAATATATATAGTTGTTTTAATGTTATAAATTTTTACTTTATCTTTATTCTATCCAGCAAGCTAACGGAAGGCTAGTGGTTGTACTCGGGTTCCCAATAGTGTCTGAAGTAATGCACAGATAGGCACCTGAAGACTTCTGTTATCAGTAAAGTTTGAAAATCACTGCAGTAATGTTGGCAAGATAATTTTTTATAGTATAGCCTAGTGGTTCTGTATTCAAGATAAGTGGACAACTCCATTTGAGTGATGATGGCTATCATTTTGCATAAATTTAATAGGAAAATTTTTGTTGTTTTCTTTGAAATTAAAAGAATTACAACAAAGATATTCTTTGTAGCATTTTCAACTGGGCCTCTACAGTTAGATATCATTTGTGTCTGTAGGTTCATTTCTTTTTAAAATTCTCCAACCACATTTCTGTTTACTCAGACAGTTAATTTAGTAACTATTTTACTCTTTACCAGCTAAATTTATGTTAAGACATTACAATGCTTTGAAATTCTAATTGAACATTATCAATGTGAGGAATTCTGATAACATAATGTTAACTTTCCGAAGTCAACAGTATAGAGCCTATTGGGACTTCAATGGCATAAAATCTGTGCTGTCTAACCAGGCTCTATAATTTTGAAGTTAACCCCAAAAATTGATAATGGACATTTCCAAAAAATAGAAGTTGTTCAAAAATCTGGATAAAAGCCTTTTTAGGGGGATCCCTCAGAAGCATAAATCACAACAAAATTGCATGAAAATTGCAGATTTGGTTTGATTGAGTCTGTACATGAGGGATTATGAAAAAGTGCAACATCCCTTACGCCACCTTACACCAGCTTGAGCGGAAGTCAAGTTCATTTAACAAATTATGCAGGTATGAAATGTTGTCTATTCTATATTTCCAGGTGTTTGTATATAGTATGTTTGTATCTCAAATGGCATTCCATGCTAAAATCAGTGATCCAAAGATAGGTGGAACTTATATGACATTGCTCAATACTGTAGCCAATCTAGGTAAGTCCAAATTTAACATAATTGATTTACACAGGTACTTTGTAGTTATTGTAAATACAGAATATTATGTTATGAATGCTTTCTGAGGTTTTGTATTTTGGTACAAGCAACGTCGGAAATTGATATATGATTACACCTAAGATGTTGTGAGATATCAAGTTTCCCACGTTACGAAACTTTAGAGAATGAAAGGAGGTCATTTTTAAATGCCCATGACTCCTAAAGTGATTTTTATCATTTTAACAGAATTCTACATTATACATTATCCAGAATTTAGTTTTACATGATATCATGTACCGGTACTGAGATAAGTGGAGAACACTGCCCTACTGACAACTCTTGTTAAATTTAATTTGCATATACATGACCTATAAAGGTTAACATGTCATTTGTATTACTGAGGTAGGTATTTTCAGGCAATATGAACAAATAGAGGACTGTACATGTTTCATAAATACATAATTTGTGATCTATGTGTTTATAAAGTATAAGGTATAAGTTTTTTTATGACTTACTCTTTTATCAAGGTGGAAACTGGCCAACAACTTTTGCATTGTGGATAGTGGATAGTTTAACGTGGAAGGCTTGTATTGGGGCTGATGGACCTTCCTGTTACACAGCTGATTCTCAACACGTAAGTTGTTCACACTAAATTTTCAGATGTGTGAAATCTGCATATAAACAATATAACCTACATGTACAATGATATTGAGGATTTGCATCAACCCTTACAGCTGCATGCCTCCAGATGAGCCAAAATATTTATTTCAAGAAAATCAACCTGAAGAAAATCAAACTTGAGAAAATTCACCTTGAGAAATATGTACAATTTTAAGAAATTGAAAAATATTCACAATTCAAGAAATAATTTATAAGGTATATGCAATTAATGACTGATTTGCAGTATTTATCACAATATTTCTACTGCATGTTTAATGCAGTAGAAGGGTTATTTTTGTATATTCTAGCATATTTTTGGTAATTTTGGTAGCATTTTAGTGTTTTTTTTGTTTGCAATGTATAACTCATGACTTTTTTCACTTGACAATTTTTTTACTTTTAATTACATTTAAAAATTTTTTATGAAAATTAGCATGAATCTGGAGGCGTGCTGCTTTAAAATGCTTGAACTGAAAATGATCAGCCTTTGCCACCAGTATAGAGCCAGGTCAGTTTGCACTGCTGTGCAGTCTGATATCCCTAAAATTGATAATGAACAATTCCAAAACACAGAAACTGGACAAGTCTATTTATGAAATTCAGAAGGTTAAAATTAGAACTATTAGATTTATTGTATGTTTACCATTTGCCCTGCATCTATGTAGTTTTCAAAATAGTTGTCTTTTCTTTGCCATTAATTTTGTCTTGCTTTACATTTTTTACAAGATTGATGTCTTTGCAATTTAATGGAATAAACTTTTATGTGAGGTTATAAATAAGTTTTATGTCAAAACTCAAAAGTATGTCTGTTACTCAAAGGACATAAGTCAAAAGCATGGTTTGAAGGTCAAAGGTTATGTGCCTGAAATAATGAACAAAGAGGGACCAGAGGTCTTCCTCCACCAGTAAAGCTGGACAGTTGCCTTATGACCTTGTTGGTGCCAAGTAAAAACCCAACCAAAAAAAAACGGGTGAAAAAAATTACATATATTATTAATCATAGAAAAGATTGCCAGATTGTAAGATAATGCTAAAAGTTGGTAATATTATATTTACAGTATAAAATATCATAATTGTGTTTTGCTGCAGAAAACGTTATCATTTAACGTTCCCCCATTTTTTCATGATGTTGCGTCATTTGTTTATAGTTTATTATTGTTGATTAAAATATTAGGCAGCTGGCTGAAGATATGCATGGCAAGCATTGAAAGTGCTACCGAAAATATTAAAAATATGGAGTTTGTTATTTCTCAAAATAGTATTATTTTATTTATTTCAACCTTTCATAAGGAACATTTATCACATTTTAATATAATTTATATATATGTATATATTAACAGGAATGTAAAGAAGCAGGCGGGACCTGTCATACAACATTAGATGGTTATTATATAGAATCTGTCGTCTGTATAGTGATAGGATTTCTATGGTTGCTATGGCGAAGTAGAAGGGTACACGAACTAGATGCACTAGATATAAAAAAGTGGAAGGTTTCCTGAATAGAACATATAATTGCTTCAGAAATATTGTTGTATTTCGATTATCAATGTTAAAATAAGTTAAAACATCTTTGTAGCTCAACTGTTAGAAAGTTCATGATGAGCTATTAAAATCACGTTCTTTCTGTCATAAGTCTGTTTCTATTTTATTTTGAACAACGTTCATCAATATATTGCTTAACCATGTTTGTAAAATTAATGAAGTCTTTTTACCATCTTCACTATGCCTCTAGCATATTCTGAGACCAAGATCCAATTCTAATTTGGGAGGCTAATCATAGTTGTTCAATAATGTTATTTCAATCAAAAGGTCTGTTTGTCATTGCAACAGTAATTAAAATCTGAAGGTGACTGTGGCTTAGTGGTTAAAGCCATTGGCTTGGAACCGCTTTTTCCTCACCACTTTGGGTTCAAATCCTTTCAGGAACTTTTGATTCTTTCATGTGAGGAAGCTATCCAGTAAGCTGACAGAATGTCAGTAGTTCTACTTGGGGGGTTGCATGCTTGTGTCTGAAATAATGATTAACTGAACACCTGATGTCTTCCCCTATCAGTAACACAGCTTTATGACTTAAGTATTAGTGAGACGTAAATCTCAACCAAATAAATACCTTAAGGGAAACCATTAAAACTTTCAACAAATAGTCTTTTTTTTTTCATCTTCATAATTCCCCTGACATTTTCTGAGACCAAGGTCAAGGTCACCACGTGTATAAAGTAAATATTTCTACTTTTCCTGATAGAGCCTCTATTTATCAACCAATATCTTGGTTATATTATATGTAAATATATTTCATTGAGATGTTTCTTTATGCCGGGTAACTGGGTCACTTTGTCAAGGTCATTGTAATCAATGCTAAAAGTGCTTTTCTTATTTATAAAGTAATGCTCAAAATATGAGTGGAAAATAGTTGCAAACCTCATGCAGGCGAGTGTTGTAAGGGCCTGTTGGGAATTTAAATAATGTCATTTATAGCGCCTTATATAATGTGACAATCCACGCTAACGTTAAGGTCACTTCCGACTTTACGTTGTTTTTGTTGTTCACTGTAATATATGACTGTTGGTCAGTAAAGGTCAGAAATGGAAACTACAACGCATTTTATTTAGTTATTGTTCACCCCCACAGGACCATTCTGATTCTCATCTTTACAGTGGAAAACCAAGGGTATAATGTTTGTAAGTTTGGTTTAAATATAATTTTAATCATTTCTCTATAAACATGTTTAAACTGAATGGCATACATATAGGGTAATGGCATTTATAGGTATCATCAATCATTTTGTTTACAGTTTAATTCAGCTGTAATTGTTTAGGAAAGTTGAAATACTGTAATTAACATGTAATTTAAGTGTAACTGTGAATACAACTTTTAGTGTCCTAGAACATTGTGATTGTAAGTTTTTAAGTAGTCATGAGTTTCAACACCCAATCTCATTAAAATTAGATCATCGTTATAGCTCCGTTACTCTTCGCTACATAGGCCAGTGGAGCGACAGTTAGAATATGAATTTTAATGCGATTGTTTGAATGCCACACAGAGCAGTATTTTTATTATGCACTGCCATCTTTGTTGATACATTTGAGATATTCATAATAATAGTATATAAAATCAAAACTCTGATAATGTCTTGTCAATTACACAAGTAACATGGCTTCTATATTTTTTTTCAGTTTCTTGCTATAAACAAGTAGTTTAATCTGATTTTTTTTCAGTTCCTACTTATGAACAAAACTTGGTGTACAAAAATAAAAAAAAAGATGTATTAAAGAGATTGTATTTATTATCAAGATTTTGAGAAAAGAAAGAAGATATGATGAAGTTTGTGCGTTTAATATCAATTTTATTCTTATAGCATAGTGCTATATACTTGTTAAAAAAATTGTTACAGAGATTTTATGTGAATTATTCCTGGAACATTGTTTATTACTGCCATGTTTTGTTATTTATCTTTAGCATGTGATAAAAAGTGTGTTTAGGGACCATTCATTTCATTATGTTGTTTAACCAAACACTCTAAGGCATTTATAACCCAACACTTACATTTTTAGGTATAAATTGGCAATTTATGGACTGATTTTGTTAAAAAATAGCCCATACAAAATTGAACTTATCATTCTTACTACTTAGAAGTTTATTTTCAATTCATTGACCAAAAAAGAATTTCAAAAGAAAAAATAATAAAACAAATAGGTTACTGCTAAATTTTGAATTTTATATCAATTTTATTCTAATAGCATAGTGCTATATACTTATATAAAAATTGTTAGAGATATTATGTGAATTTTTCATAAACAAATTTGAACAAAATCAGTCCACAAATAACCATTTTATACTGAAAAATGTAAGTGTTGGGTAAATGCCTCTGAGTGTAAACATAAATATTTAGAAAGTGTTCAATAGTGTTCAATAGTGTCTGTATATAAAAAAATTTTAGGAAATGTTTTATGTTTGTAATAATGCTTTCTCTAATATATATCTTTGCTCTTTTGTTTTTAGAAATAAACAGATTCTATACAAATGTTTATAAACTTTTGTTGCTTTCCTTTCAGTTTAATTCTTGCTAATAAGACATAGACAGTTTTATACTGATTTGTATGTCAATTTTTGTAACCATGTATGTGGTTTGATTTTTGTAAAGAAAAAAGGTTTATAAATATAGATGGGCAATAAGAGAGTTTGGAGAAATACCATAGATAATTTACATTAGAATACAATGTTCATGATTCTAATCTTTGTTATGTTTCTGTAGATTTTACACACATTCTTTTATTTTCTGTCTGACCTTAAAGTCAGACTTGCTATTTATAGACTTATACCCCAGCATGTTTTTTTCGTTCTTTTAAACATTTAAATATCCAAAAATGTCTATTTTCCTTTTTCATGCAAAAAAGATCTCAACAAGTGGACGGCGGGCATTTATTTCCATTTTAAAGCAGGCATATGTTCATAAAAAACACAGTTATAACTTTTAGATTATCTTGTATTTTTGACAGATAATAGTAAGGAATCAGTAAGTTACACAATATGCTTGTTTTACAAAATGTTGTTTTTTATTGGTTGGTGCTAGTACTCTATATTCCATAAAGTCATTAATCCCTGTTGGTTTCTAATGGATGGCTAAATTTAGTGCCACATTTTTTGAAGTTATGACATAGTTTGTTTTCATCAATATCTCAAGGTGAATATCAATTTCAATTGACTGTGAATGGCAACACAGAGAAAATGCTATAGTCATATAATAATAATTAATATTGTTATAATATTGTTATAATAATAGTTATAGTAAAGTTATAATAATAATTAATAATGTTATATTGCAGCCAGTGTATGATTCATTCTTTGTTAAATCAGCCTTTTACAGAATGTGTTCAATTGTATTTCTTTTTATAATTCTTAAATAAAAAAGTTTTAGCATGAAAAAATGCAGACTATACACACTATTACCACATTAAATGCCCTTTAAAGACAATTTTTGATTATTATGAGATACAAATACCTTTTATTTCCCTGAGAAGTGCAATTTTCTTTTGTAATTCTGTTTTTATAAGAAAAGTACAGTCATGTATGTTATTTATAAACATTAAATATAACATGAGATATTTTGTTAGTCTTACTTTAGTTTACATTGATATTAAATATTTATACATATATCTCCTTAAATGCAAGGGACAATAATGTCTTGTATGTGTCACGATTATAGAGCCAGACTTACACTACTCCTCATGCGTTCATGTATGACATATATATATCTCCCTATGAAGTTGCAAGTTAGTACCTCAATACATTTTAGTTATGGTCCAAGTTAAGCATGAAATAAAACAAAGGGCAATAACTTATGAATAATTAAAAGGAAAGTTATATTTCATATGCAATGCACACATCTTCAATGCCCTGTGACAAGGGTAAAGAAACCATACAGCACAAAGATCTGTATGAATTTTCAAGTTGAGAGTTTAAATACTTTTTTAGTTGCAAACCTGATAAAAATTATGCAAAAACAATAAAAAATATATATAAGGGGCAATTACTAAATAATAATAAAGTGGAGGGTTGTCATTCTTTTAAATAAATGTCCTTCCTAAAAAAGATCCTTAAACCTATGAATTTTCAAGTCAATTTCTTAAGTTATGCTCTACACAAAAATTAAGCATGAAACATAACAAAGAGCAATCACTCAAAAAATGATGACGATAGAGTTATCATTCTTGTGCATTGCACTCCTCAATGAGATTTGTTCAGGTTTGAAATTTCAAGTTGATATCTCGAATACTTTTCAGTTATGCTTCAGGCAAAAATTAGAGACAAAACAGACAGGGGCTATTTTATTATATCCCTGTCACCCTTTTGGTGGGGAAAGTAAAGTTTTAACATGTACAACAGTAGTTGTTCTCACATTATTGAGAAAAGGCTTTAGTCTCTTGTTTATAAATTATCACTAAAATTGTTGATTTAAAGCATAAAAAAATCTGGTTTAAAGTTCATATTGTGGGGGAAAGATTTTAAAGAAAACTGACTGTGGTCAATATTTTTCAGTTTTATGATTCTTGAGGTAATATAATATTGATAATGCATAGAGAAATAATAAAAAATAAGGGGTGATTGGAAAATTTGTTACATATATGTCGCAGCTGAGACAAAAAAAATTTTTTTTTGTTTTTTGGTTGCTGTTACTTTGCAGCATGTTGCAGTTACTGTGTAGCAGGAGACACGAAAATCCACAGACCAAAATGCTTTTTATTCAAGGGCCATAACTGAGCAAAAAATCATTGAACTGGACAATGCCAACGATATGCATGACTAGACTTGGTACTGATATGATCATTCCTGTAACTTGGATGAATAGTGGTTTTTAAGGAGTAGTCCAGACAATTTTTGTGATGGCAGGACAGAAGGATAAACATTCAAACAAAATAATACTTATGTTGATACTCCATTGTTCTCTGTAGTGTTCTTTTAGCCACATAATAAAAAAGCCACCTAAAAGCTTACAGAATGAATGACATCAAAGAAACAGTACAGTTACCTACTGTTCCTGTAGCCACATAAGTACAATGCCATGTATCTAAATGTTAGCATGGACAAATGGAAGGCGGAGAAGTGATCCTTATATGTTGCTGCTACTCTGTAGCAGACGACACAAAAATTTAAATGGCTAAGAACACTATATACTGAACAACACTTATGTATATTTCAACATTTTATTTTTTTTTCAATAAGTAATGCTTACAAGAGGTAAAGAAACAAATTGCATAATTGTGTAATTTTAAAATTGCATACAACACCAATATATGTGAAATGATTGACAAAAAGAGCCAGTTGTATGTAAACTGTTATACACCAGAAATTGAGCCGCGTCACAATAAATTGCGATCAGCATGGATCCAGACCAGCCTGCGCATCCGCGCAGTCTGATCAGGATCCATGCTGTTGGCTTACCAAAATCTATGATAAGTAGAGAAACTGATAGTTAACAGCATGGATCCTGATCAGACTGTGCGGATGCGCAGGCTGGTCTGGATCCATGCTGGTCGCAAACACACTATGTTAGTTTTGTTGTGACATGGCTCATTTTTTCTTTAAAAATTCAACCATGTTGGATTGAAGGTCAAAACAAAAACTGCAGATTTTCAGGCAAAATTTGAACCCCTGTCTTACAAGTGACCCCATCTTATACATGTAGGTAGGTAATTACAATATGATTATATATGAACAACAGTTAAATCATCTTCATAAACCAAAGCTTAATTAAAATATATTGAACATGGGTAAAAGTTTCTTATTCAAGAAAGATTAAAATTTAATATGCTTAAATGTAAAGAAAGGAGTAAAAGAATGATACTTGAAACAAAACTGGCACCAAGTCACATATACGCTATCACAATATATATCACAGATCATTTCATCTATAATGCATGTAAATAAACTATACAAAAATATAATAATTTTAATAAAAACAATACTTCACAGATATGTTTACACTTGCATCCTGGTGAAGTAGTTATGTTTTTTAACAAAATATTTCAACAATTCTAAAATCCCTCGATTCTTTTTTTAATTGAAGCATTTAATAATTTTTTTTCAATATTGAAATCAGCTATATTTCAAATGTAATGTTCTAAATTTAAAGCACGAGAAAGTCCATTCAATGAATTCAGCATGTTAAGGGTTAGGAAAGGAATGTTCAATATTTCTTTTTGCAGTGATTGACCATGAACAACTTGCCTCTCACTGCTGTAGGTTTGAGCCGCAAGCATCTTTGGATTCTTTCATGTGAGAAAGCTATGCAGCTAGCTTACCGAGCAGTGATGGTTCTACTCGGGTGCCCGATTGTAAGGAGCCATATTACTTGATTTATACCCAATTTAAAAAAAATACCCCCCCCCCCCCAAAAAAAAAACAACAACATGCAGTGATAAAATAAAAATCACAGTATTGGTATGTAACAGACCTTCCCATAAAATATTTCAGTTCACTCCTTTATTGTTACAAAGAATTTCCATTCACCAAATACTTATCTAATTGTTCACTTATTTATACACCAAAAATAATTCCATTTCGTTGAATTTAAATATTTACACTTCAATTTATCTTGATTTAAGAAACTATTTAAAGTTCTTTTGTCAACATAACTTTAAAGTTCAGGCTACTATTCATCTGTTAAAGGAATCAATATAAAAGATCTTAATTAATCACAAACAATTTACAATAAAAACCCAAAATAATGTACACTTTTCATTAACATTCTTAATGTAAAATCCTATCAAACTTCTTACTTAAAATGTATAAAGCTATATTATAATTGTACGAGGGTTGTCCAAAAAATTTGTGCACTGCAGTTATTGTCGTGAGAGTTATTAAGAAAAAAACATGAATTATATATAATTTGAAGGGGAAATCTGTCTCATATAAGAAAACATAAGAAAAAGCTGTGTAACTGGCGTGTTGTGAAAAAGAATTGTCATTAAGTTACCTTATTAACGTAATACCGGCTCACGACAAAACAATGGGTTAGTTCATTACTGTACTTGTATTATTTTTTGTCGCTTGTAGAGTGGCATTTGCTTTTTATGTCATGATTTGTTTTATTGTCAATAGAGGAATGATTGATGCAAAGTAATTTGGGTAGTTGTTGTTTTTGTTCTTATGCATCTTACATGTTACATATTCCACCAGTGCACGAGTATATTGGACAACCCTCATCAAATGCGCCCGCATTATGGACGAACATTTGCCTGACCGATTGTCATCATCTACCTCCTCTCGCCCCTTTACAGAGCATTTGTGCAATTAAAAAACCAGCCTTCGTTATATGGAATTTGTCACCCTTGCCCTTTTAAATTATTTTTAGGTATCTGTCGGTGTTTTACCAATATTTGCCCAAAATTTAATGATCGTCCGTATTTCGAGACTTTTAGCGACTGAAATTTTCACATAATTACAGTATTGATGACCACACAGAAATGTTTGTTTACGACCGTTATAATAGGGCAAATGACGTCAAATTTTCTATTGATGTCAGGAATATGTACACCCACTTTTTAAATTTATATGCACTGTTTAAAGAATACTGTGATGCATCAAAGTCATGAACTAACCCAATTTTTTGTTGTGCTCCGGTATTATGTTACCAAGGTAACTGTATGACGATTTGTATTCACGAAACTTCAGTTACACGGCTTTTTCTTTTGTTTACTTATTTGAGACAGATTTCCCCTTGAAGTGATATATAATTCATGTTTTTCTATCAATAAATTTCACGACAATAACTGCAGTGCACAAATTTTTTGGACAACCCTCGTATTTAAAAGAATACTTCCAAAATGCTAGCATGAAAGCAATATGGCAGAATATTAATGCCTTAAAAATTGAGCATGAACAAAATCATTGCTAAACGGGATTAAACCCTCCTAATATTTTGTTCTGGAACATTTTATCCTGTTTATATATAATTAAATCATGTGTATTAAATAACAGGAAAATTCTATGTTACAATCTACTAGAGAATTGACAATTCTATGGATTATTTAAACAATATAATTTTACTGTTAATAACTATTACAAAAACTTGTTCCTAAGATATAGCTTTGATTATAAGCATTGTTAGTGCAAGAAGTATAAGTAATGGTTATTTTTTGTAGCTACAAAATGTATACAAAATATTATGGAGATTTAAAGGAAGTCCAGTAAATATCATAGTGATAAATACTATCGTACCTTCAACAATGTTTAAAGCATCATGTATAACTATAAATTAAATTTTGAATTTATTTAATTTCATATACCAGTAGTATATAGAAACAGCAACAAAATTATTAGTAGATTGATAAAATTGTAATTTAATCATTCTATTTACCTGTTTTAAATACCAGTATATGATTGGTTAATTCTGGGTACTCATGATTTCAAATTGACCAAATTGGTAGACTGATTTTCTGTAAAATGATTTTAGTCATTTTACATGTCTTAAGCTATTTCTGTAAAAGGCATCATATTTTACCTATCAAGAATCAATTCATGTACATAAAATGTTGATTTAAGTTGAAAAATAATATCCTTATTCTTTTTAAACAATCATATGAATAGATATAAAACAAATA